GATATTTTATATTATATTAAAATACATAAATAAAATATGGTGTTTTAGTAAAATATATAAAATATGGTATTTAAATCATATTAATGTTTTGTATTATATTAAAATTTTATATGTTATTTAAAAGTTTTGTCCCACATGTTTTTCAAACATGTCTATTGTGAAGCATTTGTATAACAAATGTTGCAAGTCATAAAAATTAATGTTATTTTAGTAATTATATATTAAAAAGAAATTTTTATTATATATAGTCTAAATAACTTTTAAATTATTGAATGAACTTTTAAAAAATGCATTCAAATAGTATTAAACTAACTTTTACTAAATATACTTTTGCTCAATGGAAAACAAAACGGGCAATGAGTGTGTTGGAGGACTTTTATTAGAAAAATAGTACTCCTCAATTAAATATTATTCATTCCGTTCAAAAATATTAAGTATTTTTTGAGAAATTGGATGTTAAAAAGTGTAAGATATTTTTAATTTTTTGATGTGCAATCATTGCCTTTTTTTAAAAGTTTCTCTATTAATAATGACTTTGTATTTATTGTAGGGTGTTTAATAGAGGTAAATATGAAAAGATAGGGTTAGCTTGAAAATAGATAATTGCTTTATTGATAGTGAGATTCAATTAAAAATATCTTATATTTTTTAATAAAAGGAGTATATGACACTTTTTTTAAAGTATGGTGTTTAAAAATATAAGATATTTTAGGTCTTCTAAAATATTGTTTAGTGGTGTGTTTAGATTTCAAGTGACAAAAACTGATTAACAAAAGGTGATGATGTGAAGGTAATGTTTTTTGAAATTGATTTTGATGATTGAATATGTTTAGATAATTTTTCAGAAGCAATTACAAAGATGGGAAAGTAAAAAATGCTCAAATACTAAGAATTGATTCTCAAATAAAAAATAAATAGTTTATTCAAAATGAAGTTTCAGATGACAAATAGAGTTTTGCAAAATTGAGAGTGCTTAAATGAGTTTTTACAAAATTATAGTTTTGGTTTCAGTATTGATTTCAAATGAGTATGCAAACAAGCCCAATGCAATTTTTAAAAAAATATATTTAATTAAGAATGTGATTAATGGAGTTTTTTAATTGAGATAAACTATTAAGTGTTAATAAGGATGAAAAAATATGTAATTTTAAATGTCATTGCTTACCTTATTAGAGGGTGTAAATTACTTAAAAATATTTTATAATACTAAATGGAGAGAGTAATGAAGATATTAACAAATTAGTATTACGCCAATGAGAGGAAGACAAATTGAACAAATCGAATAAATCCAGGAAAAAGCTTTAAAAGAATATTTTCTCATTTGTATGGTATTAATTACATTTTTAATATTATTTCTATTTAAACTTATTAACCAATGAGGGAGGATACAATGTAAATTTAATTTTTTTAATTTAAATAGGGATAAAATTATAAATTCATTCTATTTTTAAACAAAGTTAATAATTTAATTATTTTTATTAATTTTGATAAAATAGTTAGAATAAGATGAGATGAGATATTTATTTGAAAGAATTACATTAAAGTTTCACAAAAAAAATTAACTCCTGTAAGGTTTATTGACAATACAATCAGTTGTCAATATAGTTTAGTACAGTTGCCAATGGACTTTACAATAATTAATTTTTTTTCATGTGAGATTTGATTGTAATTTTTTTATTTTTTAATTGTGATTTTAAGTTTAAAAGTTACTAGTTGATATTTTTGAGAATTGTGATATTTAGCAACCTCTCTCATTGAAACGTGGTTTGGACGTGGAAGAAACTAATTTCAAAATTTTTTCTCTAACTCCCCTCTCCCCCAGGTCCATCTCTGAGTTCCATGATTTTAGATGAAACCATTGGGTCTTTGATTATTAAATGTAATATTCGGGGAAAAAATTGTTAAATATAACCGATTATCTGTTCTCTTTTTTATTTCTTTTTTTATCATTAAAAAAAAGTAACTCATTAGTATCCGTTTGAATTTCAGTTGAGTATAATATATTATAAAAATAATTGATTAAATAGTATATTTTAATTATAATTGATTATATTATACCACAATCTGTTTGGATAATATTTTTTTTAAATTAATTTTAACAAAGTTAAAGATATTTAAATAATTTATTTAAAATTAATTTTAGTTGTATAAATTATTATAAAAGACATTGCATTTTAAAATTAAATTATTAATAAATTTATATCTAATATTATTAAAGTTGTTACATTTTATTTAAGAAGTAAAATATATTATTGGTTTTATTTTTATTAAATATTGGGCTTTTTTATAATTTTTTCTTAAGTCTTTCTTTATAATTTTTCCTAATACTTTTGATGGATTATTCACAAACGTTCCAATTGCCAACTTTTGAGAAAAATTAATTTTAACCAATAAAATTGATTACATGATTTTTACGTGTTTAGATATATTTTTGGTTAATTAATTTTTACAGTGAAATAATCAATTATTTTGCCTAACCAAACAGACACTTCGATTGCATCCAAGCTTAGCTACTTCTGTTTTCTCTTTTTAAAAAAAACAAAATAGCTTGTTCCAAAGGCGACGTGTTACGTTATTATTGGCTGAACCGTTGGCGCACCTGTGAGAGGGCTATGTTTGGCTCATTTCAACGGCCAGGTGTCACGCACTGACGCTATCATTGGTGAAACCGTTGGTGCGTTTGTGAAGGTTTCGTGTGACAATGCCTTTGGGTCTGGATAAAATGAAAGGTTACCGCCGTCTGTGGGGATCGAACCCACGACCACGTGGTTAAAAGCCACGCGCTCTACCACTGAGCTAAGACGGCTTGATATTTGTTGTGTGGAGATAATTTAAAAAATACATATTTGTAATTGAAGGTATTTACATATCACTGAGGTGAAAGAAGATCAATCAAAGTGCGCCCGTTTATTTATTTATCTTTGTCATGACCATCTTCTCTGGTTCATATTTTTGTCAAAAAAATCTAATTCATTAGGTTTTTTTATTCATACCTGTTTAAAGTATTTTATCCATCTCATACATTTAAATTTTTAAAAACTACTGTAGAAAGAAGTTTATCTAACTAAAACATAAAAATAAGATAAATAAAATTAAAAAAATGTTATAAGTATCGCTTGAAAATCTAAATGAATCTTAAACGACATTTATGTTAAAAAAAAGAGAGAATATTTTAGTAAAAAATATATATAATTTAATGGTTAATAAACTATTGATGGATAGAAATGAAATTTTAAAGATCCAAAAGAGACATAAGTTATGTAAACTTTAATTTTGAGAAAGGTTTATTGAAGTTTTAACAATTGAAGAAAGCTTTTTATAATTAAGTTAAAATGAAGAAAATATTAATGTATCATACTCTTTTCAGTAAAACCAACGTGCGCAGCATAATATCAATATGGCGAAGGAGAAACGAGAGGATTTTTGAGAATCGGAATACGGAAAATATAAATCTGGTGACGCAGGAGAAGAGCCCACTCGAAACTTAGCATGACTAACTTTCAGCAACAAGGGGTGTGCGAAAGACATGTTGAGCAACCAATGTCTGGTTCTGCTATTAAGATTTTCGTGGATGGAGCTTTCTCTATGCACACAAGATCGACAGCTTGTGGAGGGGTGCTCACAGATCAAAATGATGAAGTCGTAGGTGGTTTTTTTCCTTCGCTTACCAGATGGAGATGCCTTTGCCCCGGAACTAGGGGCTCGCATCATGGGTTTGAAGTTTGCTGGGTATAGAGGTTTTAGAGAGTGTGTGCTTCTTAGTGACCGTAGTGAAGTTCTCACTCAGATTCAAAGTGGTAACTTGGATCTGCATCAATATCAATCCGAGATCTTGGAAGCTTATGGCCCTCTTAAACGTGACCGGAACATTTCGGTCAATCTTATCCCCCGAGACAACCGTGAAGCAGATCTCTGCGCCAAGAGAGCACTGGAATGTACTCCAAGACTCCACTTTCTCCTTCCTGAGGACCTTCATCGGATTGTCGCGTTTGAGCGTCCGCAGGCTTTGCTCTCTCTGGTTTTTTTCCCCCTTTCTTTTTCCCCCCTTTTAGTCTGCTTTGATTTCCTTTCTTATCGAGGGGAAAAAAAACCAACGTGCGCAGCCTAACATCACCGAGTAAACACCTTTATTAATTTGAGAAACATGTGTTGAGATTTATTCATTTTATTAATTTTATTTGCAATAAGATCAGACATTATATGTAAACACCTTTTTTAATAATAATTTATACATTAATTCACCATATTGGAAAAGAAGGGCCCTTTTCATTAGATCTAACGCACTTTGTTGATTCAGATTTATTTATTTTTTTGACAGAAGTCAATTTTTTTTTAACCACACAAGTCAACTTTATGTTAAGAAAAAACCATTAGTATATAACACCAAAAGAAATTTAGGGCCACAAGAACGGGAAAAATAGCAAACAAAGAGAGTTTGGGAATTGATTTCCCATCTGTTCAAGTTTTCGTATTATTGGGCCAAGTCCCTCCTTTTTACCAAAAAAAAAAATCCATCGTGCTATGCAGTCTAAAAACATTAAGAAATTAAAGAAAACAATAGAAATATAGCAACCCAACATTAAAACAACTTGGCCCAATAGTGATGACGCTGCACGAAACTCTCTAATGCAGACACAGCCCGAATACAAGTTTAAAATTCCAAAATTTCTGAACACAGACGTTCCTTTATATGCTAGTTATCCTTATATCAAGTCATTGTGCTCACACTGCACCGGCACCATCGCCATCAGCTCTAGATTCAACATATGATCAAGAGTATGGTAACAGGTAAAGGCTTTCCACAAAAGCCCGACGATACATACTCATTAATGCCCAAAAGAATCATAAGAGCCGCCTTCAGTAAAAAAGCGAGGTGAATATTGTCCTTTTTTCTTTTGACCAACAATGTGAATATTGTCCTTGAATATGCAATATAAGAAACTTACCACCGCTAAAACAGATACAGAAAAGAATGCAATGTGAAATAAGCTGAGACAAGGTTACTGAAAATCTGTCATTTTACTAACTTCCATATTTCCAGAGGGCAAAAGGAGGGAAAGAAAGAAAGAAAGGAAAAAAAAGAGGTACCAAAGTAAATCTGATCAACAAAATTCCCCATTTTTCTCAGGCTTGCAGAACAATGTACAAACAACTCACCGCTCTGCCTTTATGAAATGAGGAGCCAGTAGTTTCGAAACTGTGAAACCATTGAAGGAGTCAACGTCAAAGAGTTCTTTCAGCTTCTCATCACAAATTATTTTCCTCTTGTCAGAAGGATCCTTCACAAAAGCAAAGAGTAAATTTACCACTATATGCAGATTAAACAGAGGAAGGGAATAAGGAAACGCTCAATGAATAATTGCAGAAAGTCTTTCAATCAAGTTTCATCTGGCCTTTTATAAGTAGATGGAGTTTTTCTGTTAATAAAATACGAGAAAGAAGGATCAAGCATGGTCCTCCGCAAGTGTAATCTCAAATATCAATGGTCAATATTGTACCTTTCACGCCCAACAGGTTCATGGATCATGTATGCTAAAGAAAAATTCCATAAATATTAATTAATCAAAGAAAGAGATCTGAATGCCTTTGATTATATTAATTGAAACCTTCATTCTCTTTTAATTCCTACATAAACGGTCATAAGTTTAGATTAGTTCAATCTCTTGTAATTCCAATCAAACAAAAGTTGGAACTACATCGAGTAGCATTGATCATACTGAGAGTGGAGGAAAAATTACAAGCTTGAATCTTTCTTGTTTCCCAATAAATCCAAATATTTCTCGTTTCTTTCTATTTTGCAAGCGATATGCTGAACATTGATGTACAATCAAACATATTGGTTAAACAATTTATGGGAAGTTGAAATCCCTTTCTACAAAGTATCTTGAATGAAAGATACACAATGTCACCCCATCACTTCACCGGCATCTTTTTGGAACTTCCCCTTCACATGAAGGTTCCAACTTTCTTATCTAGAATAAATCACTCGTTATGAAATTCCCTCTTATTATCCAAAGTTTTTTCTATCAACCAATAATTGGATTCCTAATAATTATCATGGGAATAAGGAAAGGATCACCAAATCAAAAGTAATTACAGGATAGATATATGAATATGTAATATAATTTTAAACTCGAAATTAGCAAATATTTCAGTAAGAATGATATTTTTAACTTCAGTTTAACAAATGATTGAAGTGGACAGACCTATAGAGCCAGAGCAAACACAAGCAGTCCAGAATCAAGATGTGCAAAGTATTAAACCTTATTTCTGTGGACCTGACCAAGGATCATTTACTCAATTGCTTAATATTATTTTGTTCAGCCAATGGGCTATGATGACTGAATTAAAAATTTTCAACTTTCTCTCGTGACAGATTAGAATTTGTTGGAAAGACTGTTAAAGTACTGCTGAATGATAATTTAGAGGAATGACAAACCTGAAGGTTGTTTTGTTTTATGTAATCCCACATTCTTTTTATGACATCAGCCCGCGATAATGCATTTTCTCCAGTACCAAGAAAGTGTACAAGGGCATCAGACAGTTGAAGAGGAGCAAGAAACCCTGATTTTCCTCCCTTCTGTCGTTTTTCCTTTCTTTTTGGTTCATCTGAATCTGTGGTAAAGGTAAATAAAGGATGGTGCAAACAAGCTATTGTTAATTGATTAGAACACTCATTTGTTACTGAATTCATCCACCCCACCATACCTTCTTCTCTCTCTTGCTTCTTCTGCTTTTCCTTCGGTGTAGACTTCACTTGGATGACTATATTAATAGATGCCGTTTAATCAAAACTTTTAGTTGTCCATATAAAATTGACTAGAGGAATAAACAAGAAGCTTGAGCTTCCAATAGTGTGGAATGTAACAAACACAAGATAGGGTTAAAAATATTGTAGACCAGATATGGTGATATGTAACAGAAGGTTGAGGAGCATACCATCATCAGAATCCAATGGCCATATATGCTTTGACAATGCTTTATTCATTTGAAACATGTTGATGGAATCAACACCAAAAAGGGCACGTAATGGTTCATCGCAAATTATATTCCGCCTGTTATTCGCATCTTGCAAATTCTTCTCCCTTATATAGGCCCATAATTGCTTAACAACCTAAGGCCAACATTGTTCATAGATGCAATAAGGTCATATCAGAATTACATGAAAATTGTTATTCAAAAATTCTAAGAATTACCTCAGTCCTTGCCATTTCTGGCGCTCCAATGAATTCCTGAAGTTGTGGAGAAAGGCTACATAATTTGCAAAAACCACCACCTTTCCTTCGTACCTCAGTTCCAGAATTTTTAGATCTGATCACAAGATTAAAAAGCCACAGTTAAACAAAAGCACTCTAATGAAAATTACTACAGGCCAGTACAAAATGCAAGTCAGTTGGGATCTTGTAGTGGTGCATAATCTAATCTATCTTTACATAATAGCAAATACACCCCACATGCATTCTTCTCATAAGTACAAAGATACTAGACAACATTATATTTACGAATTTATGAATTATTATGAATCAATCAGAGACAAAAGGTCAGTTACACTCACAAATTAGTTATTGTAAAAAAAAAAAAAAAAACTGTGCATGATTCTGACTAGCAAGAGAAACCAAATCACAAGATTCTGAAACACCTGTAAATTGTTTCTCTCTCTAACAATTTATAAGGTTTTGTTCTCTTTATGATACCCAATGTAAATATTTTTGAGCCAGAAGATAAAACTACCAGCACACAATTTGTATGAGAAAAAGACCCAACAGATAGTTCGCTGAGATTCCAACTACAAACAGAGAAACCAAAGCAAGCTCAAACTTGTAAGGCAATGCCTAGAAAGTGACCGTGGGAAAAACTCTCCATGACTAACGAGATGGTTTTCCTCAAATTATGTTCGTAGCAAGCTGACATGCAAAACGCCAAGAACATTAGAAAACTTTTCTCCTTTAAGTTCAAATAAGAAGGCTATAGCAGCCTGCACTTTGGCAATATATTTGCCATCTTTGGACTAAAGGCATCAAAAGCCAATTGAGCGGATAGAGATGCATCTACTTTTGAACATGTTTTCTTAGTAATATTATGGGGGATCAGCAAAGTAAAAACTACAATGAAAGATATAGACAAAATATTTTACATGTTCTTTTCTTTTTATAGTTTGGGGCAGGGAAGGAGTTTAACTTGGAGATTCCATAACTTAAAAAGGCACCTTCTGGAGCAATTCTCCTGCAGCAATCATGCAAGTGTATAAGTATAACCATTTTCACCGCACGGATCTAACCATAGCATTAATTAACAGAAGTGATTTTACATAACTAGTAAGATGCATAAAAACCTTGTTACGTGTTCAATTTTCAGAGGAATATTTTGGTAAAACAAATCACCGCAATAGAAAAGCATTTTGCCTGAGCAAGCTGAAGAGGGGAAGCAAGATAAGAATTTATTCAACGGAAAATCCAAAGTGCCCCAAAGAGAGGTATTCTCTCTTAACGCCTGTATGTGTACATGTATAGCCCAAACCAACCACTAATTTAACAATCATGAGGCACTTTTTAGAACAGGAGCTATGTATGGCTGGAAGAGGCACCAGAGTGGTGAAGAAGAAAGAACTGTCTCAATCTTTGCTAGCGCAGAGAAACCACAAAATAAATTTTGTTAAATCACTGGCATTACCGTATAAGAAAAGCATAACTAGATTTTCGTGTTTGACGATGCAAAGAATAAGATTAGTTTGCACAAAAAGACTAAAATTGAACACTTTTTCTTCGAGTAAACCTGAAATGCAAGTAACCTTGTTAGTGAACTTCAAAAGCACACAAAATTCAGGATAGGAAGAAATCGTTCAGCATCAAGTGGACCCCGCTTATTAAGAATAAATCACGAAACCATGTAAGCAAGTCCTAGCCATAATACTCGTGAATTTCAACTAAAATGGGTATCTAAACTTGAAAGTATGAAAATAGCTTTTCGGAGCCAACTTGTAGGGTCATCATGTGCAACAAAATACTTGCGGATTATAATGCTGCAGATTACAAATTGGCAGCGAACTTGTGCCAGCATGTTTGGCCCTAAACAGTTGAAATTTTAATCGGGAAAACACTAGCACTCACGTGAGAAAATATGAAGTAGCCTCATCTGCAGATTCATACGAGTTAAAAGACCAAAAAAAAAAATGCAAATTTAAAATCTAGGGAGTGCATAATTAATTAAAAAAAAAAAACTAACCGTCCTTTGTCCTTCCCATTCCTGGAACGCTTTACTTTATCTTCATTTCTTTCTTCATCGTCTTGCATTTCATCATTCGAATCTTCTCTTTCTTCTGATTCATGCTCCGGCTGAGGGTCGTCTTTTTGATCTTCTTCATCTGCCGGTTCCTCGGGTTTCTCGTGCTCGCTTTGAAGGAACAAGTCAACCTGTTCCCTAATGAACGCCTTCCTATCCGATAAATCGATTCCAAAATCCTTCTCCAACTGGCGGCGGACCGTAGCAGTGGTGGTAGTGTTGAGGTCGGAGCTGCGAAGAAACTCCCGGAGCCGACCGATAAGCTCCGATTCGGATACCATTGGGAGCGGGAGGGAGAAGCCTTCAGCAGCTTGAGAAAGGGTACGAGTGTGGTTGAAGTTGGTGGGCAAAGAGAGAGGGACCAAAGACGATTTCGGAGACGAACAGAAATGTATATGAGGATTAAGGGAAGGGGGCGAAGAGGGCGACACGAAAGGAAATAAATGGAAATCTTCTCTCTCCGCCTCTTTCTCTCTCTCCCCCCTCTCTGCCCTGTTTCTCGTTACTCGTTAACGATGACACTGCACGGACCTAGCCTCCTCTCACGTGCCTCTTCATAGAGCTTTCCATTTAGAGACAATTTAACCGCACATTTGCCCCCGTCGTCCCTCCACTTGCGTAGCTGCCTAGAAAAATATCGAATTTAAAATTTGTGATTCATTCAGAATTTATTGTCAGTTATTTATGTCACCATTTTTTCATGTTTAATGCCCCTTACAATTTACGTTACATTTATCGACGGATTTTCTTCCATATTTGTTAATGTTAATTTCAAATTCCTGCTCAGTTCGCACTTCGCAAATGCTGAAATGTATGTGTGAGGTAATACATGCAGAACAACTCAATCATCCTTTATTGATAAAATAAAAGTTGATGCTAGGGAACAAAAAAGGAAAACTATGAAGTTATTATTTTAGAGATAAGTTTTGGACTTTGGTTCAATAAATGTTTTTGGGATACAATTTTTTTTTGGGATACAAAATTATATATGCAAAGGGCAGTTCATTTGGGGATTGGGGCCTCGGTGGGCCAAGTTGATCTATGCGTAACGTCGAAAAATGGGTTGAGATTGGTGTCCATTTGAGTGGACGTTTGCTGTGATCAAAATGGATCGTGATGATGAGTTTATTCAAAGCCCAGATTTGTCCCATATCAACTGCCTTCTGCAAATACATTAGAGAAAAGGTCGTTGGTCCAAAATTCCTTCAGTCTTATTGGTTAATCTACTTAGGTTGCATTTAGATGAGTAGATTTTAATTAAAAATTTAAATTTAAAAACTCATATTTAAAGAAAAAAATTTGTCAATCCTACCGAGCTTAACATTTTATTCTCTTTTTGTGTGTAGGAATGAATTAATTGGAATGCAAATAATGAAGTTGGCAGCCTGAACATAAGGAAAATGTCTTGAAAATTTTTTTTGTCCTTGCTTGCTAGAACATATGGAGGAAAAGATGCATGAAAATATACTCAAAAGATGACATACAAGAAAATGACATTGCCTTCTCGTATACTTAATAGATAATCAATGATCTTAGTATATGTTTGGTTTATACCCAAACTAAGGTTTGGGCACCCCAAACCTCAATTGCAATGTTAAAAACCTGTTGAGAATAAAAATAATATATTTGGTTAAATTTTTATCTAAAAGGGTTTCCAAAAAAACATAACGTTATGGTTGAAGCTAGAAAAAGTGATTTATCGTGTTGAGGCTTGAGTGTTATGTTGTTATTTGCTATAACTTTATTTTATGCTTCTCATTCTCTCTCCTCCATAGTAGTGCAGGAACCATTTGTTTTCTATTAAAACATTGATATTGAAGCTTTTTTTTTCATCAAATGTAATTTTTAATTAGATTGTGTGTGTATATATATCTATATCTGTACAAGGAAAATATTTTGTAATCTAATATTTTTATAATTTATTAATATATTTTAGCTTTTTAGAGTTGTATATTTTATAATTTATTATTTAAATTTTATAACTTATTTTATATTTTTAATTCTACCTTTTAAAAAATATAATTTAAGTTTAATATTTTTTAAGTAAAAATATCAAATTTGTTGTGAAATAATATATATATATATATATATATATAAGACCTTATGTTCATTTTCATTATTATACATCTCAACTGACTTTTAAATTGAATTATCGAGATGAATTTCAATTTGTTCAACTGACGTTTGAAAAAAAAGATATCTAAATATAAACCACATTAAAATTACAAACTTTTTTCTAACCTCAGTTGAGTCCCAACCTGAATTGTAAATTTTTAAATCCAAATATACACTTAAGCTTCAATCTAAAATCAACTACATCATCCAAAGAGATGCCCAATATGGAGCTAAATAGAGGCCTCCAACTGCGAGATGAGTTAGGCTCGACATTGATGAATTGTCAACATCAATGGTGCTACCATTTGTGGAGGTATCATCAAGGATGATGAATGTAATTAGATTAAAGGATTCTTTAAATACCTAAATTTTTATCCTAGCATGATAGTTGAACTCATAGAGATTCTCAAAGGTCTCAGGTTTTGTTGAAATGCTGCTAAACTTCACAAAGTCAATGTCCGTATAGATTCTATGGAAGCCATATTGCTCATTGAGCACAACTTTTTTGAAGGACACACATTTTCTAACATCATTAAAAACATTAGAAATATCATTATAAAAGACTGGGTGATCACTTGTGATCGTATTTATAAATGAGCTAATGCTAGCCCGTCATTCTTCTTGGGATAACTTAGACATTAGGATTCTCAATAATCCCCTACCTGATTGTAGAAACCTTATAGTTTTAAACATGAATTGATATTATCTCTTTTACAAAATTATGCTGTGACCTTGTATGCTAAACAAAAAAAAAACTCATATATAAAATCACATATTTGAAATTTATATATTATAAACTTTTTACTTGGATAATATAAAAAATTTCAAATTATAATATGAAAATTATTCATTTGAATCTTGAGTAAAATTTCCAACTTTAAATTCCATGCTTGAATTTAAAGGCAACTCAAATGTCAATGATCCAGTCTCAATCGGATAGTTGGCACAGAATGGGACTAAACCATTAGTACCAATTGGGACCAGATCACCGATGTCTGATAACGCCCAAGATAAGACTGCCAGTACCAAACGAGATCAAATTGCCGACGTCGACTGATATCGAAGCAATTATAGTCAAGACCAGACAATCGACACTACCTAGGACCATACCACTAGTACCATCTTGAGATAGGATGGCTAAATTCCACTGAGACTGAATAGTAGAATTCAACCAGGATTAGATTATCGGCGCCAACCAAGGTTAAATGGTCGACTTCCATTAGGACAGGGTTGTTAGTACTAACCAAGACCAGACTATCGACATTGACCAAGATTGGATCGCTGACTTTTATCAGCATTTAACAACCTATACAGATTTGGACTAAACCATAAAAATTGCTTAAGACTAGATGGTTGAATTCCACCAAGACTAGACCTTGGCACTTACTTAGATCATATGGCCACTTGTGATCGAGATCGAACAGGTCAACATTGATGGTCCTGTCTCGGTCAACATCAGTGATCTCATCCTAGTAGAAATTAGCTATTTGATCTCAATTGGCATGGCGATCCGATCCCCATTGAAGTCAATTGTTCAGTCTTGATTAGAGCTAGTGATTCGATCCCAGTTAAAGTCAATTATCTAGTCTCGATTGAAGTTGGCAATCAAGTCCTGGTCGGCATTGGCAGTCCAATCCTAATAGAGCAAAATCAATGAGTGAATACAAAGGAAAATAAACTTAAATAGAAATTTGAAACAACAGGGTTTTTAAAAAAATTTTAATTATAAAGAGATTAAGGGGAAATTTGGGTTTGTATTTAGGTTAAATCTAAATCTACACTTTTTTAATAACCAAATAATGAATTTGGCTTAAATCCCAAGCCAAATCCATATACATCTTGCAACATTCTTCTTATTACCTAGGAACTTAGCCAAAATCTCCATGATAAATTTGGATTAAATCATATGATTATCAAAACATAGTTGTAAACTTTTACCAGTTATTAAAAGATGAATCATAGTAAGAAGGAAAAAAACAAATCAAAGATCTACTTTAATTTAAAAAGTTTCAAAACAAGTATTAAAATATTCACTTCACAATCAAACAACAATTTCATTTAAAAACTTTTAAGAGTTGGGATCCCAAGTTTAATAACTTAAACTTTAAAATCACATACAACTAATTTAAAATAAAGTAGAAACATATACGAAAGTGTGAAAATCATATTAAATAAGGTAACAAATCAATTTAGGGTAAAAAGAGCCAAAGCAACATTTCTGACACAATATACTATGCAGCGTAAAATGCAAAACTCATGACAACAACACGCTGTCATGACATATTTTTTAGCCAAAATTTTGATACATTTGAAAACTTTGACGTTTGATTGAGGTGATTTAGATGTCTATAAAAAGCTCTTTTAAAATTTTAACTAATGGCATTAGTTTCATTTTTAGATTCTAACCCAATCACAAATTGGACACCTAAATACAAAATATCACATTTTCATCCTCAAATCACAATCCAAGTGTCTAAAATTCACATTAAGTATCAAAAGCGCAACCCAACACATAGACCACATTCAATCAACTTGGGACAACTTATGTAACACATCATGGCAACCAAATATCACATATTTCACAAATTCTCTTAGATTAAGTTATAAGACATAATTATATACAATTTCAATGAAAGAAATTTGTGTCATAAATTTTTTGAAAATACATTATAAACATGAAATCAAAATAACAAATATAACTGCATTGAATATATCACAAATACAAAAGTACATAAGACACATTTTCGCACCAATTTTTTTTTTTAAATGAATCTCAACGTTCATGAATTTATTTAACAAAAGAACATTAATATTTTTGTTGAAATATTCTAAAATTTGATGTTTAAGGTACTCCACTCAACTGTCTCAAGTATAATCTGTGCATTGCATGGAAGCCAGTCTAGTTTGTTTTACATGTTTTGTTGGTAACATTATGTGCTTTCTTCATGCCCCTTGTTCATTTATCAAGTATTCTTGCTCAGCCCAAACGTTTGTTCCCTCAAATTAAATGAATAAAGGAAAAATCACTCTCAAATCTCGCATAAAAATTATAAAATCATAAAATTATCCTGAATTATTTGTTGGAGTTGCCAGTCACTAATTGATAGTTATTGATTATTACTTTTTAGATGTTAACTGAATATCTCCATTAAAAATTATTCAATGTTAATCGACAATTTTAATAGAGGACATGAAATTTTAAAGTAATTTTAAGATTTTATGAGAATTAAAATTTTTCGTGTAAAATGAGAGTGATCTTCCCACTAGTAATGTTGTGCCTATCTTCTATCTTCTTGCTTGCTCTGAGCTTTGCTTTTATCGGACTTTAACCTGTCCTCCTGTTTTAACCCAGAATCGACGGTATATCTTTTGCCAGTACATCTCTTTTAGAGAAAAGGCATAAGAAGCACTGTCTTGTCCCTCACGGTTGTGGCTCGCAAACCATTCAGTTGTCGATTGCTTGAGATCCCTCTCTTCTCATTGGCAACACAATTCTTTTCCTTGGAACTACAGATGGTACATTTCTTCTAGTCTCGGTAACTCCTCCGCCAATTTAAATTTTAACTCTCATGTGTGCCTCAACACTGCCATATCAGTAAAAGTTTTTCCAAATCTAAAAATCTTCACTTGACACCCATAATTAGCATTTTCAAAGAGATTCATTCTTTCAATTTGATTCTTACCCTTTGTCTTGATGTAACCTCAAGAAGGGCCAAGCAATTATTGAGATGATAAAATAAATTTAAAGTATATTCTCGTTTCTAAATGAAATTAATAAGCAAATGGTAAAAACACATCTTTGAATCCATAAACTTGGAAGAGACTTTCATTTTTTGTTTTTAACTTTATTTAAATATCCTTTTACCTTTAAAAGTCGTCCAAAAGCTTCCTGATCCAGAAATTCTTAACATTTTCATTTTTAAAAGCTGTAAATACACGAATAAAATAATTTTTATCCTCACGAAAATTATAATAAAAATAAATGACAATTATATACATATATACATACATACATACATATATTGTTCTGCAGGTAAAAAAATAAATGACGACCATGTATCTATTTTAAATCTATAACATGTCCAACTTTGTTCCTCCCTATGTTCCAGGCATAAAGTTGAAAGTCTCTTCTTATTCTCCAAGGAAAATGGTGGAGAACCTGATTTCACCCAACCAAAAAGGGTCTCTCAAGTCGCAGCCTGAAAATACATAGATAATTTGGATTTGGATTCTCGTCGTGTGGACCGTCACATTCGGCAAGCAAAACGTGGAGAGGCATAGGGAAACGATTCTAAGGCCCCGCACGGGATCGCAGTCGGAACGCAGCAAAATTTATCCAGTCAAGAGGCGTCGTGCAGTCAATTTAGCTAAAGAAGACAAAGCTCAAGCGGATGACACTGACCAATGACAGCGACGCAGAAGCAATTTAACATAGCAAACATTTCTGGTAAGAAATTTAAAAAAGGGGGCGAACAACAGAAACGAAGAGAAAGGCGACAAAATCTGGCTTACGAGGCCAACTAGACCAGAACAACCGGCGTCATCTTCATCTTGGACACCAACGCGCCAAAACGATGCCGTTTCCCCGCTTTGCTCTCGTTTCTGCCAGAATCAGGTAGTCGCCAACCCGTCCATTTTTTTTCCCTATTTTCCTTCCCTCTGGCATTCGCCTACCATTTTCCATAATTCCCACTTCACAAAGTCTGCACTTTTCTCTCTTCTCATCAACTTTTGTCCTGTCTCAACTCCTGGTCAAGTTCCACAAATCCGATTCCCTGATGATTTTATCAAACCAATTAATCGTCGATCTTCGTTTTGTTGTTTATCTTCTCTGCATCGGAACCAGCGACTACTGTACCGACGTCGTGCTTCTAATGTGACTTGGGTTTTCTTTTTGTTGAACGGTAACGGTTTTTCCGAATGGATCCGTCGCCGATGACCTTGGGACCAGCCATGGACATGCCAATCATGCACGACAGCGACCGGTACGATTTCGTCCGAGATATTGGGTCCGGGAATTTCGGGGTGGCTAGGCTGATGAGAGACAAACTAACTAAAGAGCTTGTTGCCGTGAAGTATATCGAACGCGGGGATAAGGTTCGACCCGGAAATTTTATACTGTGTCATCGTCTTTTCTTTTTGAACGAAAAGATTAACTGTGAAGATAGAAGTGTGCTCGCTTCTTTCTGTGTAGTGATTGTTTAGCGAGTTGCTGGCTACTGCTTTTATGCTGACGGACGTTACTACTTACTACTTATAAGATGTGTTTGGATTTCCGTTTTTGTTTCGGTCCTGGAGTAGTTTTTGATATTAATGACTGGTTTCTTCTTTTTTTCTTGCCTTTTCCCTCTTCCCTTTTCACTATTTATTTCCATAGTGTTTGATGACTTATGTCGGAAGATAATTTCTGAATATGGAAAACATTTCTAAGATCAACTCGAACCTGAAGCCGGTCAATTATTGCCTATCGTGGTATTGAATAACTGTTTCCGTTTGAAGAATTAAGAAAAAGAGGAGGGAGTTTACACTGTTTCATTTACTTAATGACAATGACAAGAAATAAAATTACCACGGTCGCGACACTTAAATTCGCGTTTTACTCTTTCTTGTTGGACGAACTTGTGGGCTTGAAGATCAAAATGGCATATTACAGTATAGCGTCTTTTGATAAAGAACTTACTTGCACAAGAAAATCTTTGATTTGATGAAAGAGGTTTAACAGATGAGGGAATGCTGTTGATGAAAAATTTTCCATTTGCTAAAAAACGTTGGACTGGTGAATATGAAGCTTGTGATATTGGTGGATTTAAGCTTTAGATGTTAAAAATGGAATTGTGAAACAACGAATATTTTTGTTGTTCAACTTGAAAACTTTTAAAATTGACCTTTGTCATACAAACTTGGTTGCTGGCCTTTCTTCCACCCCCCCTCCCAACTTTTAGTTCTGATGGAGCACTCAGCTGATATATTTAAAATCATGTTATTTGAAACACAGATAGATGAAAATGTGAAGAGGGAAATCATTAATCACAGGTCCTTGAGACACCTTAATATTGTTAGGTTCAAGGAGGTTAGTATGTCTTGACAATTCTATCCCAACATCTGTTCAGAGTTGAGGTAGTTTCAATAAACTAAAATGTTCTATAAAATTTCACCCAGGTCATTTTAACGCCTACTCATCTAGCCATTGTTATGGAATATGCATCTGGAGGAGAACTCTTTGAGCGAATCTGCAGTGCTGGGCGCTTTCCTGAGGATGAGGTTTTTATTCAATTTGTTTTTCTCCCTGCTCCTTTCATTCACTGTTGAACTAATTCCTTCTTTTGATATGTTACCTGTGTACCTTGTTGACCGATGATCATGCACTAGGCTCGTTTCTTCTTTCAACAACTCATTTCTGGGGTCAGCTATTGCCATGCGATGGTAATAAAATTCCTCATCCCCATTCCTTCATTACAGCTTAAAATTGTACTTAACCCACACTAGACTGAAATATACATAATGCATTTGTCTCCTTTGTGTCATGTCTCTTCATGAAGCAAGTATGTCATCGGGACCTGAAGCTGGAAAACACATTATTAGATGGAAGCCCAGCACCTCGTTTGAAAATATGTGATTTTGGTTACTCCAAGGTAAGCATATGTTTATCTCCCTTTATATTTTACTGGGAAATGTTTCGTTGAGTATTTCACTCTTTCAAATTATGCATTTTTCTCAGTTCTTTAGTGTTTGTTGTCTTGGGTTCTGAGGTCCACTGGAATTGAGATGGAGCTTGCAATGCACATGCATTGGCACCTTGAGGTCCTTAAATTATTTTGCTTGGGTCCTTTTTGTTTATAATTTCAACATCGTTATGTTTGAGAAGCACCTAAAATATACTCTTTATCTACTTTGGGATATCTGCAAGTGTAGATGATGAACACTATGCTACTGATTCTTCCTTGAGTTGAGATTTTTGGTGTATCTGTGACTTACTAGGCTATTAGATGTTGTTATTGACAGTCATCAGTGCTTCATTCACAACCAAAGTCGACTGTGGGAACTCCTGCATATATTGCTCCAGAAGTATTGCTGAGGCAAGAGTATGATGGCAAGGTAGGCTAACTCTTGTATGGTTTTCTTGTTCTTTCTCTGTGGAAATAGTACTTTCACATCGGATCTTGTAAAGAATTCTGATGTAATTGTGGTCTGGCTAGTTATTGACTTGTGGTGGTTTTAGAACAACTACCGTTATTAGTTAACTGTTTACTATATCCGGTGGTCATTTTTGTGTGGGCCATGTTGAAACAAAGGTCAAGCTTTTTCTTTTTAAGGTTGATTCTTCCTTACCTGTGTGATTTGGTCTATATCATGTACAGATGAGGTAAGCCTAGTTGTGAATTGGATCTGACTCTGATCAGACATTTCATTTTCTTTGCAACTTCAGTAGCATCTGTTTTTGATACTTAATGGGTTGCTAATGTGTTTCCATGCATTTGATTTCAGATTGCAGATGTCTGGTCATGTGGAGTGACCTTATATGTGATGCTAGTGGGATCATATCCTTTTGAAGATCCTCATGAACCAAAGGATTTTCGAAAGACTATACAGGTAGATTGGACATTTAGATCATTGCATGTTTCTTTGAGAGTGGTGGTGGGTTGCTTGAGTTACGACTTGTTATGGTTGTATCATTGCAGAGAGTTTTGAGTGTCCAGTATTCCATTCCAGACATCGTCCAAATATCACCTGAATGTCGTGATCTTATCTCTAGGATATTTGTTTTTGATCCTGCAGAGGTTAGTGTTTATTTTCCAACAAGTGATCTAGTTCTGCATCTAAATAATTTGATCGTCTCTTTGGTTTCTCTGAGGAATATTGTTATTTAGATGCATTTCATATCGACTTGAATTTCTTATTAGCTCTAGTTCTTTTCTTCTAGCATTTTATTTGAGCTTTTTGATGCTCAAGCTACGTTATTTCCCCCTGTTTTCACTGATAAATCTTGCGATTTAGATGCTTGCTATTTGCTATGAACTTTCAGGATGAGTGAGGTCCCCCCCCCCCCAAAAAAAAAAAAGGTGTGGTTGTCAATGCTCTTGCAAAAATGGTTTATTGGACGCAGCATGCCAACACTTCTTGTTGCTTTTCAATGCTCATTTTGTAAGCTCTGGCTACTGTTATGACCTGTTGTTTAACCATGTGCCTTCGTTAATGAGAATTTCTTAATGTTATACTTTTACTGTGACTTTGGTGGGCTTAGCTTCATTTGTTATTTGATGGAGGTAGTAAAATGTGATTAAAAATAACCACCCGAAAGTCAAATGCTTGTTATGAGTTTGACCTCTTGATTGTAGCAGATAGAAATATAAATTGTGTACTCTGCCTTGCTTGTTTAATAATTCATCTGCATCTTATGCTTTTGGACATTTGGATGACAGAGAATTACCATTCCTGAAATCTTGAACCACGAATGGTTTCTGAAGAATCTCCCCGCAGACATAATGGATGAGAAGATACTGGGTAACCAATTTGAAGAGCTAGACCAACCAATGCAGAGCATTGATGTGATTATGCAGATAATTTCAGAAGCTACTATACCAGCGGCTGGGACCTGTTCTTTGGATCAGTTTATGGCAGATATTGACGGAGATGATGGCATGGATGAACTAGATTCGGACTCTGAGCTTGATATTGACAGCAGCGGGGAAATAGTGTATGCCATTTGATTTTAATGCACCTGGATCTAAAAAGGGAGAGTATCAATGATGGCATGGTATGTTGTGCTCGCGGCCGTGTCAGCGTCAGGAATGAAATGTGTGATGGAAGCATTTTCTCATAGAGTAGAATGATTAATACACACAGGAATACTGAATGTTTGTATGCATCTTATTGTTGGCGATGTGGACGTTAATTATCAATGTCACTTGGAAGAGTAACTTGTTGCTCAGGGGTAGAAGAGTTGGGGGTTAGAGGAAGCAATGGTATCACCCTCGTATCTCCCATTTCCGTGGAATACTTGGGTCATATGCTACTATTTATGTATCTGTACTCCTATGCCCTGCTTGTAAAAAATTCCCATCGAGTTTTAGTATATTCTTCATTGCTGTTGTATCTATGTTTGTCATCTGATCTAATGTGCTTTGTTCCTGTTTTACCCGTGTGGGTTCCAATTCTCGTCTATAAAAAATAGAAAAAATTAGAGAAAATGACAATAAAATCTTTTTAAATTATATAAATAACAATTTGATTTTTTAAAATGATATAATTTCATTGAAGTTTATAGAGATTTTTTTGTTATTACTAAATTTATATTAATGATCAAATTGTCTTTGTAGCAATATCACGAATTTGACACATGAAGTTATAATTTATTATTATATTGTTGTGAATATAAGAAGGAAAGTTGTTAAACAAAACTTATAATCATTATTTGTTATTTCCAACATTTATAGCAATATTCAGAATTTGACATATAAACTAGTGATTTGATATTGCATTGTTGCGTATATAAAATAGAAAGTTGTGATTATTTAAATAAATTTGTGATCATTATTTGTTATTTTTAACATTTATAGCAATATTAAAAATTTGACATGCGAACTTGTGATTTGTTATTGCATTGTTGCGAATACAAAAAAAAAATTGTGATTATTTAAACAAAACTTGTGATAATTATTTATTATTTCTAACCCTTGTGATAATATCAGGAATTTGACACGTGAAGTTGTAATTTATTATTGCATTATTGTGAATATAAGAAAGAAAATTGTAATTATTTAAACAAATTTTTTGATCATTTTATTTTTAATAAGGACAAATTAATCATTTATATAAATTAATTAATAACAAAAAAGTTTATAAAAACTTCAGTAGAATTATGTCATTCGAGGAGCTAAATTGCCATTTCAATAATTGGATTTTATTGTTATTTTCCTATATAAAAGTATGCTTAAAATTGGAAGGAAGCCATTTTACTCTAAATCAACTTTCCAAAGGCATTCTGCTGCAGAGACAATAGTGTAGAACAAACCTACTTTTTAGCCGCGTTATAGAGAATTTATATAGACTAGTATCATTTTGTGATCTCCTCTCTTTTGGTATTTTCTTAGTTCTAATGTTGCTAGTCAGAAGAATAGAAAAGAATGTCACGCCAACATGGCAAATAATTTTATTCTCTGATGCTTCATGAACAAACAATAAATCCGGCTTTGTACAAAATAATGAAAATCATAGAGGACATGCAAATCAGGAAGATACCACGGGAAGGATATCGATCCACCATGACCGGAGTACCTGAGCCATTGAAAGAATGGACACCAGGTAGCGAGCACCATGAAGCCAATTTAAGTTAAAATTATTATCATCTTTGGTCATCTCTATGGTCGGTCTGAGAGCTGTATGATCCAAATATTCTCTCAATCCGATGGCTATTTCCTCATCGCATATAACCTTCCTCAGCTTCTCAAGTTTGGTGACAGAGGTTGGCAACTCAGACAATTTTGAACAACCCATCATGTAGAGCTTTGCTAGATTACTCAACTCACCAATGTCCTTTGGTAATCTTCGCAGGTTTATGCAGTAAGAGATGTCAAGAAGGCTAAGATTTTGAAGCATTGTGACTGAATCGGGAATGTCTACCAAATCAGTACAGTTATTAAGCCTCAGCACTTGCAAATTCTCTAGCTTTCCGATATCTTGGGGCAGACTGGAGAAACTGTGACAGTTAGTGATGCTCAGCTTCTCTAAGGAAGTAATATCACAGAACCCAACGGGCAGTGCCTTCAAATCTTTGCAATAGTCAATGCTCATATCCACCAAATTTGGTAGCGCATCCTTAGTGCCAGTACTGCTTCTAAAAGCCTGACTCATATTACACATGTAAAGGGATAATTTCCAAGTGGGTGTTAGACTGTCAGCGGACCTTGAAGCTCGCAACACCCGCTTTAGTGAGTTTTAAATGACCATCTGTGTTACCTGAAGTGTATCTAAGAATCTCTCATAAAAAGTGTGTGACTCTACTTGCATAGAAAGGGAGATCAAACCGGATGATATAGAGACGGAGCGGGCAGTGACATGCTTAAGCTTCTGTAGAATAGACCATTTCCGAGATATGCGAGAAACGATGCCTTGCTTTTTTGGTTATGACCACAATTCAGGATGATTATTTTTATTTATGTCAATAATCAGGTTTTCCCTCTGTTCCAATGGCTTCCTTTTGCTTATATGAATGGCTAGATCTCTCAGAAGATCATGCTGCATCAGGAAGTGGTTATTGTAGTAGTTGTCTGTTTCACTTGCCACTTTCCTGGTCAAGCATCATGTATCAATTTGATTTACTAGTAACAGAACCAAATCAAATCCATCGTATTAAAAAAAAAATGAAATGCAAGAATTCATGCATAATTTGTCCAAATCTATCAACGCTTAAACAAAAGCAGCTTTAAATAAACTAGAAGTTCACTCCAAATTCAGGTAGAAGATGCATTGGCTGGCTATGAATATGAGGTAGCACTGGATGGCGTACACAAGGGTTAGAAAAAGCCATGGTACCTGGTAACTACGATAGTGGAAAGATTCCTGGAAGTTAAGTCGTAGATATATGGCAATGCACAGAACTCTTCAAGTAGGTTATGCATTTCTGTCCAGATATCAAAGAGGGCAGAAACGGGGATAATCTGATCTTCAGGAAATAGACCCAAATCATGAAGCATTCCTTGACAATGGACTTATGTTCTAAAACATCCAAGCATTTTTGGAGGAAAGCAAGCACTTGATCATCTGAATCAAGGATAGAACCACCAGGTTGAGACAATTCCCTCACCATGATATGCGAACTCAATGGGCTTCCCACGAAGTTTGCTTCAAATAATTTGAAGGAACAACGGCAAGCCCCCACAACACCTCACTGCCTGCATCTCAGTGAAAGCAAATAATATAAAATAAGCGACAGTGAAGGGGACAGCCTGGTTTTTTTCGGTTATGATTTTAGTTAGAAAAAGAGAAAGAACCTGGTCAGTAAGATCATTATGAGGACGTGTGTCATTTAATTGAGCATATTGACGAAAAAGGGTCATTGAATCGTCCTGAGAAAGTCGTTGTATGTGGCGTAGAATGCAGCTCTCCAAGTTAAGTTCAGCTCTTGAAGTAACCAAAATTTTCAAGTCTAAAATTGGAACCTTAAACTTCTCGACAAAGCATTCTGATCCAGGCCAGACGTCATCCAGGACCAATACTATCGGACTCCCACCAACTTGTTTCAGCAGATTTCGCAATTTGTATCCTGGATCTTCATTGCCTTGAAATTCAGGCTTGGGTTGCCCAAAGTGTTCAAATAGTTTCTCCACAATGATCTTCAAGTTGGGCGTTTTTGAGAAGGTCGCAAAGAAGATATTTTTTTTTTGAATTTACCTAACCAGAATATCAACACAAGGGGATTCTTAAATCCAATAACATTTAAAAGAGACGAGAGGAAAATAAGGAAGCTGACATACCTAAAACTTCAGGATCCCAACAGAGCTTTTTAGCCAGAGTGGTTTTCCCAGATCCTCCAAAACCAGTCAAGTTTAAGAAGGGTACACCACCCTTGAGCGGGTCGAATTTTAATTGATTCATAAGCGCATCCAATCCAACAGTGAAGTCTGGGTTTTCAGAAGTCCCATACAGAGCTGTGCTAAAACCAGAGTTTGTGAGCCCAAATTGCTCGGAGAGGATCATAAGAACATCTGTCATCTTCTTTAAGATCTCCGTCAAATCCCCTGCCATCTGAGCTTGAAACGTCAACGCTTAATGTCCTCCTCAGTGACTCGTCCCTTGCTTGAAGCTTCTTCTGGTAATAAGGAAAACAGAGAAAGTTCCAGAGAGATTTATTGGAGTACCTGCAAACAAGCTCTTCCCCTGCTCGCATTTCTCTAGCCAGTGTTTCCACTTCTGCTCTTGGGCGATCCAATTCCTGGGTATACTGTATTATCTCATGTACCAGAGGACGCAAATCCTCCAACGTTGATATGATGGTTTGGAGGGTGCTGGGGTACTTTTGACCCATGTTGATGATTTTGGAAACCGAATCAAACACCTCTTGAATTACAGATCCAAAGGCCGATTGTCCAACCCAACTTGCCATAGCTCAACTCCAGAGTTCACAGTCCACTCCCCAGAATCACAAATTTCAATTCCAAGCTTCAATGAGGGTAGTAGAATGAGAGGAGCAGGTGGTTCGCGGCGGCGGCAGAGGGAATGTCTGTTGGAGCTATTTCGCTCTCTCTTTTTCCCAGTGACTGCGAGTGACTTGTGATTGGACTCTTTATAACGCCCTCCTCGAAGCTTCCTTACGAATTTCGCTTCGACTTCAAAATGTGAACAATGAAACTTCCCCGGACTCGCCTCTTCGGTTCTTCCTCTGCTGCCACGGATGGCTTCGTTCAGTTCTTGTTCCATTGACTTTGACTTCCCGCGCCACCTATGCCATTGTCCTAAACGTATTACCAATGTATTATTCTGTTAATGGCCACACTGAAAACAAATACAATCACTGCAATAACTGATTACTTGTTATACATGCATTTAAATAACTGGTTAATTATGTTGGCGGCACCGGCGAGAGATATGAACAGCAAATTACGAGCTGCTTAAGTCGTGCCCGGAAGGATATTGTCCTTAAGAACTATTCCGGCACATCAAAATGACGAATCAACAGATCCCAAGATTAAACAAGCACTTCCTGCAACGGAGCAAGGGGACAGAACAACAGAGACTAAAAAGTAAAAACAGACGATGAAAACAGGAGCAAGAGGCAGAGGGAGGAGAAAATTGCCCTAAAAACTCAAGAGGCTTGTGGTTGCTCTGTCTACACCCATGGCTATATATAGCCTGAAGGTGGAGACATTAACGTTGGGGGGTTACCACCGGATTAAAGGCTCAGTTACACTGTCATAAATATCGTTTAAACACTTGTCTGGAAACATTGGGGGGTTACGCAAACGTAAAACACATTTAACCTCTTGTCTGGAAACGTTGGGAAGACAAAACGTTTAAAAAATTAATTTGGTTAATGGTCAAAAAATGTTCTTGGTTTGATTTCAAACTTTAAACAGCCAAAAGTTGAGCTTTTCCAGCAAGCCAAAAATAATTATTTATTTTGTAAATATAATCCGGTAAAAGGAACCCAGTGTCTCTTGAACTCGCGCACAGGAGGGCGAATCGGTTGATTTCAACTGCGATTACCCTGAGTTGGCTTGTCTCATATGCACGAGGCCACTTCTCCTCTAAACTCATTTTACTAGCCCACTTCATTCCTTAATTTATATACACTAGGAGATTCCTTCTTTTAGTCAATGTGGGACTTTAACACACACAAACTTTTGACATACATACAACAAATTAGTAGTAAAAACTAAAAACAATGGCTCAAGTGTTAGTTAACTATAAGGCCCTGTTTGGTACATGGAAATGAAAGCTAAGGGCTAGTATTGGGATTAAGAAAATCCAACTTTTTATGTTTGGTATGAATCATTAAACAATCTAAACCCAATCTCAATCCCACCTTACATGGGATTATTCAGTACCACCCACCCCCTGGGTTTGCAAAATCATTCCTGGGAATGAAAATATCTGGACCGAATTGCCCTCACCCATCTCTCTCTCACATCTCTTCTCTTCGTGCAACACAATTGCAAGCTTCAATCTGTACGTTTCAATTTGTACACTTCATCCAGCTACCACGAAATCCTCTTTTCAAGCTCCAATTTGTACACTGCCTCAATGCTCCGATCCGTTTTGAGGAGGTGAGGCAAGAAATTGCGGAGGAGGAAGAGACGCAGGTGAAAGAGGAAAAATAAAATTCAGAGAGACATAGCACATCGATGAAGAAGGAAATGGAGGAAGAGGAAAGATCAGAATCAGAGACATTGTCGACTTCTTCCAGATCCGCCTCATTTGAACCTGAAACTAAAACTGCGCTACCATGGTGATTGCTGCATTCGAACCTGAAATTGAATCTGTGTTGCCATGGTTATTGCCACATTCGACTGCTTTCAGACCTCACAAGCAAGGTTTATTTTTTTTGAATGTAAGGAGTATTTTAGTCTATTCATAATTTATGTTTAATTATAAAATAAAATAAAAGTAAGTATTCCCTACACATATTACTTCATACCAAATATAATTTTAAAGTCTCATTTTCACTTTCACTCCCATTACCAATACCAACACCAGTCTCAATCCCAATTCCTCTAAGCTAAAGGTAAAGCCGTAAAGGGCTTCAGCTTCCTTAATGCCTGAGTTTTGTAATCGTGTAAAAATACAGTGGGGCTGTGTCAAAAAAGAAGAGAAAAAAGGGAAAAATACAGGCGCGTGATGTGATTACTTGTAAAGCATTAATTAATTATGGTTGGCAATAACTCATGTTTTAATGGTTCTTCGGAGAATCACAATTTAAAACCCTACAAGAAAATTGTTAAATTAAGGTACGAGACTTGCTGGCTATATAAGCTTCTAGATTTATTAGCTATAATTTAGTGGTCTTCATTTTATATTTTATATTTTTTTTTATAAGTTTTTTAATTAGAAAAATGATATAAAAATCTTTTTAAAATATATAGATAATAAAGAAGAATCGCGAATTGAGGCAATTACTATGAAGTCTCAAGGTTTATTTTTGGGAAATAATTTGTTTTTGTGAAATTAGCCTATTGACCGAGAAGAATCCAGCTCAGCCTTCTTCTGCAATGAAGCACCAGCCGATTCAGTCTTCTTCTATGGCGGCATGGTTTCAGATCTGAAGGTGTGAAGGTTCACTGATTTCAGATCTCTCCGCCGTCGGCTCAACTAGAATCTCACTTGCGGACCCTCTTCTCCTTTGCAGATCCAAGTTCAAGGGTGCTCTTCCGTGCGAGTTCGAACGTCCTCCTTCACTCGGTGGTTGTGACTGAGTTCGAATGTCCTCCTCCTCCTCATGTTGAACCCTCCTTTTTTTTTTTTGTTCCAATCATTCATGTTTCAGTTCATATGGTTTAGATTTTGTGTTTCCTAATGTATTTTATTTGATTTTATGATTGTTGGTGATTGGATTTATGAAGGGTCTGTAATTTATTGATTCATTCTTGATTTTCATTTGATTAATCTAGGTTGAGAGTGTAGTGAAATTTCTGACGAAAATGTACAAGAATAAACTCGAGAGGAAACAGTAAATGGGTTGGACATTTTTTTTTCCTTCAAATATTGAGGTTTATTTCCATAGTTAATTCATACATGCTAAAATGGTATTTCACAAAGTGCTCCCTGGAGTAGAATACTGCTATCAACAAAGATGGAGTTCAGGAGTTGGCTATCGGTGGTGTTCCATTACAGAAGAAGGCCGAGTTGGGCGGAATTCTTTTGGGCAATACAGTAATTTTACAAAAACAAATTATGTGAGAAAAGTATCTTGAGATTTATAATAATTACCTTAACACCTTAATCCGAGGTACTCCTTTGTTACTTATACATTTCGAAGGAATTTTTGTTTATTTTTTCTTTTCAATTTCTCTTTTAACAACATTATACAAAAATAGGTTTTGGAATTTAAAAGGAGAGCCTACAAAAGAATTCTCACTTACCCATGGCATTAGAAGAGAATCCTCTTTTTCTTTAAGGAGAATTTCATTTAAAAATTATAGAAGCAACTTATCTTCAGATGGATCTCAAAGAATTTTAAAATATCAGTTTAGTTTTATGAAATTAAATTGAAAATAAGTTAAAAGTAAAAAAGACTAAAATACCTTTAATTCAAATATTAAAAAAAAAAAAGAAAACCACCAGACACTGTCGACGGCAACCGCTAAACCTTTATCACTGGAGTTCTGGCCTCCGACTGGACCACCATCGATAGTGGCTGAAGAATTATGGAGAATTAATTCTTTTAAAAATGGCCAAGGTGAGTATAGAACCCAAAACCCCTTAATGTACTAAAGGATTTTACACCACCATGCTACTTAACCCATTCAATCATATAATGCATAAAATTATATATATAATAAACCTTATTTTCAAACCACTTGATTATTTTACTTGTTAATCGTGTAATTTTACTTGTTAATTTCTTACAAGGATTTGTTAATTACTTAACTTTCTTTGTTAACCCCACGACCCCTGTAACAAAAATAAATTACTTGTTAATCATGTAACTATATTTATTAATACCTTAACAGGATTTGTTAATTACTTAATTCTCCTTGTTAAGTTTGTGGCTCCCATAACAGAGCTACATTACTTGTTAATCACGTAATTGTCATTATTAATATCTTAATAGGACTTTTTAATTACTTGACTTTACTTGTCAAATACATGAATCCTTCAACTGAACTGCATTACTTGTTTATCATATAACTTTACTTGTTAATTACACAACAATATTTATTAATTACCTTGCTTGACTTGTTAATACCATAGCAAGACCTGTTTAACTATTATTTCGAAAAGCAACCAAATTACTAGTTAATTTTATAACTTTACTTATTAATTCATCAACAATACTTGTTAATAATCTATTGTCACTTGTTAAATGAATATATAATTTGCATAAAAAATTAAGTTTGTCAGGTAACGAAAGCAATGACAGTCGGGTCTCCCTTATCAGTGTTAAGTATACTTGTTAAAATATATTAGGCTTTAATTGTATAAGATTTTTTAAACCTCTAGTTTTAATTGTATAAGATTTTTTAAACTTCTAGTCTGATCAGTATTCATCAAACTTTTAATAAGTATTGTTGATGAATTAACAAGTAAAGTTATGAAATTAATAAGTAATTTGGTTGCTTTTTCGAAACAATAGTTAAACAGGTCTTGCTATGGTATTAACAAGTCAAGCTAGGCAATTAACAAATATTTTCGCGTAATTAACAAGTAAAGTTACATGATTAACAAGTAATGTAGTTCAATTAAAGGAGTCATGGATTTAACAAGTAAAGTCAAGTAATTAAAAAGTCCTATTAAGATATTAACAACGACAATTATGTGATTAACAAGTAATGTAGCTATGTTGTGAGAGTCACAGACTTAACAAAGAGAGTTAATTAATTGATAAGTCCTATAAAGGTATTAATAAGTATAGTTACGCGATTAACAAGTGATTTATTTCTGTTGCAGGGGTCGTGGGGTTAATAAGAAAAGTTAATTAACAAGTACTTTTAAGGTATTAGCAAGTAAAGTTACGCGATTAACCAGTAACATAATAATCAAGTGGTTTGAAAACAAGGTTTATTATATATATAATTTTATGTATTATATAGTTGAATAGATTGAGTGGCTTAATGGTCTAAAATTTTTTAGTGAACCAAGGGGTCTTGGGTTCTACACCTACCTTGGCCATCTTTGGAGAAATTAATTCTCTATAATTCTTTAGCCACCATCGACGGTGGTCCGACCGATGGTCGGAGCTCCAGCATCGGTGGTCCAGTCGGAGGTTGGGGCTCTGGAGACGGAGGTCCAGTGGCTACCGTCACCGGCGAAGCTTTGGTCATCGGTGACGGTGTTTGGTGGTTTTTTTTTATATTTGAACTGAGGGTATTTTAATCTTTTCTACTTTTAACTTATTTTCAGTTAGTCCCATAGGACTGAACTGATATTTTAGAATTCTTTGAGAGCTACTTGAAGATAAGTTACTTTTACGATCCTTAAATGAAATTCTCCCTTTTTTAACTTTTTTATTCTCTGTATTGAGCGATTAAGCCATTGTATTTTCAAAAGCATTGATAATCATGAACGGAAGCTTATTAAACTAACAATTAAGGAGTCTCCTATTTCTCACTTATTTTCACTGACGACTTGTTAATTTTTGCCAAATTATCTCTATCTCAAGCAATGATAATTCAATAATGTCTCTTTAATTTTTGTAAAGCTTTAGGGCAGAAAATTAACTTTGACAAGTCTAAACTCTATTGTTCCAAGAATGTCAATATAAATAGAGTTTCTCAAATTAGTGTTGAATTAGGAATTCCTTTAACGAAAATCTAGCAAATATTTTGAAATTCTTCTTATTCATGAAAAGGCCTTAAAGATTACTTTTGCTCCTTTACTTGATAAGATTAACTCTCATTTAGCAAGCTAGAAAGATCGCTCTTGAACATTGTCAGCTAATCTATACTCATTAAATATGTTTTTTCAATACTTTCTAACTACACTATGCAAATGATGCTTTCACCCGACAATGTTTTGGCAGATTTAGAAAAAATCTCTAGAAACTTTCTTTCGGATTCAACTAATGGGAACCAAAAACCATATCTCCTTTCTTGGAATTGCGTTACATTAGGGAAAAAAAAAGGATGAGAGGCCTAGCTTCAAAAAGCTAAAAAAACAAAATATTACTTTTATAATGAAGCTCTATTGGGCTTTCATCACAAAATTGAACTATCTTTGGGAGCAAATCCTTCGTAACAAATACAAATGCAACAAACTCACAATACCTGTGGTCTAAAAACCAAACTTATGCTATTATATTTGGAATAGCATATGCAAAGTATGGGATAAATTCATGTGCAATATGGGTTAGAAAGTTAATAAAGGAGATCAAATATCATTTTGGTATGATAAATGGTCTCCTTTACCTGATCCTCTTGTTAAATATGTTTTCCCCAATGTTGATTCTATTCTACATACAAGAGTCTCGGACTTTAAATCAACCACTGGAGGGTGGAATTTTGAGCTTCTATGATAGTATCTCGACTCTAATGTGATTAAACATATTGTGCTTGTGTAGCCTTCTAATCAATCCACAAGGCGACAATGATCATTAGAGGCTTTCTTTTGATGGTAACTTCTCCATCAAGTTTTCTTACAAAGCTATGAAATTTCAAAAGGACCAAAATCACTCTAAAATATGGTCTAAAATCTAAAAATAGCTTGCTTATAAAAAAAATTAAATACTTCTTTTGGAAAGCTGCTTGGGATTGTCTCCAAACCAACTACATGCATAATAATGGAAATACACCCCAGCAGCGTACCTGCCCTCTTGGTTATACCTCTTCTGACTCCTTTATCCATATCTTATGGGACTATAAGGAAGCTCATGATGTTTGGAATAAATTAGTTAACCCTACCAAACTTAATACTTTCTTTTCTCTATGTGTGTAGGATTGGATAGTTTGGAATGCTGAAAATAAAGTAGGTAGCCTGAGCATGAGAAGAATGAATTGGCAAAGACTCTTCACATTTGCCCGCTGGAATATATGAAAATCAAGATGCAACAAGATCTACTCAAAAAATAATACCAAAAAAAAAAGACATTACCTTCTCATGCCTTTAATAGATTATGAATGACTTGCAGCTTCAAACTAGAATCAACTATTTGAGCAACAGTAGTGCCAGACATGAAGCTAAATGGAGTCCTCCTACACCTGGGTGGGTCAGGCTCAACATTAACAGCTCTGTTAACATCAATGGGATTGCTGCTTATGGGGCATCATCAAGGATGATGAGGGTAATTGGATTAAGGGATTCACAAAGAATCTTGACTACCATCCTAGCATAACTGCTGGACTTATAGGGATTTTAGAGGGTCTCAGTCTATATTGGAATGTTAAATTTTCTAAAATCAATGTCTTCTCTGATTCCACAAAAGCATTGTCTTTTATTGATCACAACTATTTTGAAAGCTATCCTCTCTCCAAAGGTATCAAGAAAATTAGATATCTCACTATAAAAGATTGAAAAATCACCTTTGACCACATCTACAAAAAAGTGAATGGATGTGTTGATTTACTAGCTTATCAAACATCCCATGATAGTTTCGATACTATGGTTTTAGATAATCCGCTACCTGATTGTATTAACCTTATAGTTTTAAACATAATTTGATTATAGTCTCTTTATATGGTTTTTCATGACCTTGTATTAAAAAAAAAAAAAACCTACTCCAAAGAGCCTCGAAGGATCATCGGCTTCTTCCATCGTTGATTCCAATTCCTCTAATTACAACAATGAAGATGACTAGGAAGAGATTAATATGTAGGTAGCCAGAAAAGTTAAGAAAGAAGTATCAATCAAAGTAAATCAACCAACAAAATTGGATCATGGTATTGTGTCATGATCAACAATAAAAAATTCTTAATCATGCTCTATTTATTATAGTGCTTATATACAATTTCTGCAATATTTTGTTCTCACTGATACTTCCGACAACACCTTGGTTAATCTTCACAGGATGAAGAAGGTCTCAAGGAGTATCTGGCATTTCTATATATTATAAAAGCACCAAGAAAAGACTAAAGTAGATCAAATCAGCTCTCTCTCTATCTCTCTCTGAAAAAAGGAGGTCTTGGTTGGTGAGATCTCTAGGGAAAACATCCAATATTACTTGGTCGGATCTGGGTAGGATTTGGGACGCTTAGTGGTGCTTTGCTCAAACCGGGCTCAAAAGCTTTATGGGGTCGTTTCTTGCTTTTGCTTAATGGATGATAATATCAGCTTCCTCGAAAGACTTGTGCCTACCCAAAATCACTGTCCTTAGTGAAAACAAAATGAAACAACAAAACAAAGTGAACTAGAATCGACTAACCATGCAACAACATTCCATACTTCTCATCGAGAACCCCTAAAGAGGCAATTACAGCAAACAAATAGGTTAAGTTGTCAAGACTAAGGTGAGTGTTTCTCATCATATCCGCGTACAAAGAAATGGATGACGCTCACCGTAGTGCTCGAAGTGTCAGCCAAAAGTCAAACCCTGTGCCGGATCCATCCTCGAGATATAGTAGAATCTGGGAATCGAGGTCGCATGATTTCGAGCCACTCTAAGCTCCATCTCGCAAATAGAGACCTTGCGTCATAGAGAAAAGGGATGTCTCTTTCAATGAAGACCTCAATATTTCAAGTAGTTGTGATTAGAGGAATTGGAATCGTCGGCGGAGGGAGTCGATGAAGCTCCTGTGAGTTCTCTCAGTTGCAGATTTGAATGGGGCAAATATGTCATTTTACCAAAAAAAAAAATGACAGAGAAGTCCCATGACCCTTGAAAATCATTATTACATTTCGTGATACCTATTTATTATTTGTATATTTTGAAAATAATTTATTGTCATTCTCACTTTAAAATTCTAATAATTTTCATGCAGCGGATCTCGTAGATAAAGTAGTAACAGCGTAACAGGTGCTTCCAATTCAAGTGAGAACGAAATATGGAGGGACTTTCCAGGTTAGCCCCGTCTTGTTTGGATATCATCAGACGGCAAAATGAATTCGGATCGGAGCAACCTAAAATAATAATAATAATAATAATAAAAATGAGTGATTGTAATCATTTCTGCGACAACAAGGCTTATAAATATAATAATTGAAGCAACAGTACACAGAGGTTGCCACATGCCATGGCGGTGTAAACATTCCTCAGTTTTGTCTGAATTTTTCATATATTTCCCGCATATTTTCATATCATTGCTCGCTTTGGGTTGTCTCACAAACTCTCAAGCTTGCGACACTCCCAATCCAGCTCAGGAGTCCATAACCAGAATTGTTGTGCTTTGATCGAATTGGCATACTACAAACACATACCTCACCGGTTAAATAATCTCAAATTTAAATCCTATTATAATACAGTGATTACTCTCTCTCTAAAAACTGAAAAGAAAATGAAGCCGTGAATTTACAACCAGCATAATTGACCCCTCCTGATACAAGAATTTTCCTCCGGCTTTCAATACGGAATTTCCCTTTTGGTCCTCGAATCGCCACACAGTTACCGCGCGAATGACCTTACCACTAGACAAAGTAATGTCGTTTGGTGTACTGCGACATTATCAGAAGAGACCTGCATTTTTAAACTCCTTGAAGCCAATCTAAGTTAATATCTGCTTTGAGCTGCTCTATAGTTAGATTGGGAAGCTGAGGCTGGAAAGGTTCCCAGGATGCAGCTGTCTCTTCATCGCATATTACAATAGCTAAACTCAGGAGATTCACGGCTGAGACTGGCAATTCACACCTTGAGCAACCCCTCATGTAGAGCCTTTCTAGATTGCACAAGAACCCAAAGTCCTCTGGTAGTTGTTTAAGGCTTATGCAGTCTGAGATGTCAAGATGGCTTAGCTTGTGGAGTCTTTTGATAGAGCCTGGCATCTCTTCCAAATTAGAGCAGGAACTAAGCCTTAGCACTTCCAAATTCTCTAGGTTTCCTATTTCTTCAGGCAGTTCAGAAAACTTGTGGCAATTAGTGATGCTAACCTTCTTCAACGGCTTAATTTTGCAAATCTCAGCAGGCAATTTCACCAGATCTTTACAGTAATCAATATTCAACTCCACTAGATTTGGCAGCGCAACTGAAATGTCCATGGGACAACTTTCAAAAGCCTGCTTAGTAGAACACATATGGAGGGATAATTTTCGCAGATTCATCAGTTTGCACAGGCAAGGTACTGAAATATTCTCCAATCTAATTCTTTTCAGGTCAGATAAAGAACCAAGCAGCTCAAATTTGTTTAATTTGGAAATATGGAAACCATAATTCGTGACTACCAGAACATTAAGTTTTCTCATTTTCTTCACGAACCTTGGTATGGTGTAATTGCTACTTTCAAGATTTAAAATCAAAACCTTTGCTTCATCAGGTTCCACGCTGCATCCTTCTGCACTAGAAGTGTCATCTGCAAAAGCATCCTATACAACATCAGATGTGGAACAGGATGGATGGAGGCATTGGTGGGGCACGAAAGTTTCATAAGAAATTTTCATTTTCTGTACGTGCACTCATGATTCACATACACACACAGGGAGGGAGGAAGAGACAGACCTGCATATATAGATATTGAGTGGGCACTAACTTGCTGTCGCTCCTGTTCCATCCACCATCCAAAAAGTAATGAGGAGATGCGGGCAATGACACCTTGCTGCTTCTGCTCTTGCCACCATTCGGGATGATTATTTTCTCCTGAGTCAATAATCAACCTTCTCCTCTCTTCCATTGGTACCTGGCTGCTTTGATGAATGGCTAGTTCTCTGAGAAGATCATGCAGCAGGACAAAGTGATTATTGTAGTACTTGTCTGTCTCCCTTGCTGCTTTCCTGATAATTAAGAGCAGAGATTGTTACCCAAGCAGAAACCAGAACCTAATATGACGAAGATTAAGGCACATATAGATTAATTTACAACTGTTCGTTTTCCTTGAAAGACTAGAGTAATCGTATAAAATATTTCAGCTATCCAATGTTATGATCAAGCATTAAATGGTCAACTGGAAAAAAAATAAGCTATCTACCTTCTAACTACAGTCCTGGCCAAATTGCTGGTAGTTAATTCATGGATGATGGCCATCGCTTGTATGCCATCCTCATCTAGCTTATACTGTTCCGCCCACATGTCAATGAGGGTATCAACAGGGATCATTTTGTCTTCAGGAAATAAGCCAAGGTCCATAAAGCACTCCTTCTTGATGGGGAACTTATCTCCCAATACTTCTAAGCTAGTTTGAAGGCGATGGAGCAAGTCAGTATTAGAATCAAAAATCGACTGGCTTAGCAAAAGCTCCTTCATCTTTTCCCACACCTCAAAGGGCTGCTTACAGAGCAATCCACCAATAACTTCAATGGCCAATGGTGAACCCTTGCAACCTCTTACTACCTAAGTTTCAGAGCAAGCAAAGAAAATCAGTAATAGGGAGCCTGGCAGCAAATATTCTAGTCGTAGTTTTCAAGGGTATCATGGCTATATCAAGTATTCAGTATTTATTCATTGACAATTTATTAATATGCCAACATAGAAGAACGAACATGAACAATAGACAGTAAAATAAATTATTCTACTGGTCAAGTCCTATGATTGTGGTTGCCTATGATTTTAAAGATATATGACTCAAACAGTGTGAATAATTCCCAAAGAGAAAGCACCTCGTGGACAAGTTTTTTATCAGGTTTGTATGAGCTGCTGTCATCTAGTAGAGAAAAGTGATGAAAAAGCCTTATAGCATCATCATGACCAAGTGCTTCCAAGTGGCATGAAGTGACAAATCTAGGGAATGTAAATCTTGAAGTGACCAAAACTTTGTAATCAGGAATCTGGAATTTAAATTTCTCAACAAGAGTTTCTGAGCCCTGCCAAACATCATCCAGGACCAACAATATTGGCCTTCTCCCAAATAGCCTTAGCAAAACACCCAACCGATTAATTGCATCTTCATCACTTGAAAACTCAGGCGCTTGACGGCCACAGTGTCCAAATATTGTCTGCACAATATTCTTCAGGTTGGGCGTTTTTGAAAAGATCACAAAGAAGATGTTTTCCCCAAACTTGCCTGTTAAAACCATAAAGAAATGTAAATCAATAAGCATGTGATGTTTATTAACATTGTAGAATGGTCACATATAAGGTAGTCATTTTACTAATTTGCATTTACACAGGAGTAAATGATAATCTCCAAAGGGCTGAATTGCCTATGGTATTCTTTCACTCCAAAAGGTCAAGGAACCAGAGAAGCATCTAGTCATATGTTAACGAACTCTCAAACAACGATATAGAGGGAAATTATTTAAATGTGTCAGCAAGCATGAGCTCAACTACAAGCTGCTCAGTACAGTGGAAATCTTGAAACTGAAAGGCAATGGATTCAGACGTTGCAAAATTTGGATAATCTTGTGGTGAACTAGCTCACTAATAAAAGATAGAAGTCATGAACAAAAAGAGAATCGAAGTAGATATTTCAGGGGCTGGTTACCTTTAATGTCGGGATCCCAGCAGAGCTTTTTAGCCATGGTTGTCTTCCCCGATCCTGGCAAACCAGTCAATACAAGAACCTGTTCATCACCGTTAAGCAGCCCATTCTTAGTGTTATTCAAAGGCCCATCCAATCCCACAGTATACTTCGGTCTTTCAGGAGCGCCGCACAGACCCTTCATAACTGTATCGGAAGAAAAATTGTGAACAAAAGTCAACATGATATCTTTCAGGTCCGATAAGGTCGATAATATCTCCTTCACATCTCTCGCAGTAAGAACTTGCATATCAACAGTGATGGCCCTTTCAAGCTTTTTCTTCCTTTCCTCAATCTTATCGTGGTAAAAAGGAAACGACAGAGATTTCCACCAACGGACGTTGGAGTATTTGCGAACTAGCTTATCTGACTCTTGAAATTCCTTCAAGACACGTTCGATTGGATCCAGATGGCTATCCAATGTCTCGTCGCATGCCTTCATCTGTTGGATCACCGGACTCAAACGCTGCACAGTGTCCCGGAGGTCCTCAAGTTTGGGTTCGAAGTTCAAAGCCTTGTCCAGTATATTCAACCCGCTTCTCAGCGCTCCCTCCAGTAGAACTCCCGCAGCGGCTTCTCCTATCACCGCACCTGCCATAGCATTCAGCGAATATCTTGAATTCTCTCAGGTCACTATTTCGCTCTGTCGAACAACTCTCCCTCTGGGTGAAAATGGGTTCCTAAACCTCAGCCAGATTTCGATTCCTTTTAATCTCATCAATTTGGTTAAGGCACCAGGAAAATGCTAGGAATTTTCCTTGTTTATTATTTAACAGCACATGTGGCTCACAAAAGGTTGCTGCTTCCACGAACAATCCCCTACCCAGACTATTTGACTCCCTCTATTTCAAGCTTAGCTAAGAGGGGAGAATTGATCATAGTTATCGTTCATCGTCCTTACTGGGTAAGTTTGCATCAAGGAGGATTTATATTTGAATAACCAAATCTTGAATATATAAAAATTTATAAATTTATATTTAGTTTAAATTTAAATTATACTTTTTTTATAATTTTAAATTTTTTCTGCACTCTCCTTTGTTTGAAATTCTAATTAATTCAAATACGTTATTATTTTGTGTTTTTACTATTGACATCCGTGACTCTCTATCTTTATTTTTTTTTTGTTGATTTTAAAAAAAATTTTATTAAATTTTTTAAAATGATTTAAATAAAAAATTTTAAATACATGAATTTTAAATGTAAAATTTTAAATTTTAAATTTTAAATTTAAATTTAAATCCATATTACCTAATAATTAGTTTTTAACATTGTTATCAAACTCTTAAGTTGAATTTTTGAGTTTATTATTTTTACTTTTTTAATTTATAAATGCTCATTAACTTATTCATAAACTTAAATTAAATAAAATTTGGTTAAACTCACGAATTGATTTTATAAATTTATTATTTTTACATTTTTAACTTAAAGAATCATACCAACTTACTTATAAATTTATTGATCAAGATAAGTATATACTATATGAAATTTGATTCATAAAAATAGTAGGACCTAGTTTAATGAAAAAGTGTATGTTAATTTAATTTCAATAATTTATATTTGAAATATATTTGAATCAAATTATAATTATATTTTATATTTTAATTATTTAATCATATATTATACTTTTAAACATTGTTGTCAAATCTCGAGTTGACTCTTAAAATTTATTATTTTTACATTTTTAACTCATAAAATCATGTTAATTTATTTATAAACTTAGATTAAATAAAACTTGATTAAATTAATGAGTTGACTCTTTAAGTTTATCGTTTTTACGTTTTTAGCTTATAAAATTTTGTCAATCTACTCATAAATTCATTAAGCAAAATAAGTATATACTATGTAGAACTTAATTTATAAAAGCGGTTGGAACCAATGCAATGACAAATAAAACTCAAAAAGACAAAAGCTAATATTAATCAAAAAGAAAACAAAAAATATCAAAAATAAGTTACCTTATTTTTAAATTTATAAGTTGAGTATAATGATTTATAAATGTAGATGCATTTAATTTCAATAATTTATATTTGATTTATATTTAAATTAAATTATGAATATATTTTATATTTTAATTATTTAATTATATGATTTTAAAAGTTATTTATTAATAGAGGTTAACTCTTATGAATTTATGATTCGAGTTTACATCCCTTTCATGAGCTTAACAACTTTGTCTTTAAAGATTATTTATTAATAAAAATAAATTTTTACAAATTTATAATCTGAGCCTATATTTTAAATTTATATCCCCGTCAGAGTTTAACAACATTAGTTTTCAAGCTAAGATTATTGATGAGTTAATAGTTATTAGCCTTCGATAAATTGCGATGAGATCTCCCTTCCATTGTAATTTGTGTCTAATTGGCGTCTGATGCAATTATTTTTTATTTTTAAAATGAAAATTGTTTTAAAAATTAATAATTATATTTTATGTTTTAGCTTTTTAAATTTAAAATGAATTTTTTAAATATATCATTTTTTAATTTTATGGTATTACGTTAACATACTTTTTTATCTGCAGTGTTAAAAGATTAGTTATTAATTATTATTTTGGTTTGCAATGATGGTAAGTGGTCGCCGTTTTCCAATTAAATTGTTACATATATATAATGATTGAGATTGATTCCCAACCACTTGCTTGAAAGTTCTCACACGCGCTAATTTTAATTGGTTCTAAAATAATTTATACAAAATAAAATGTTAATTATATTTTTCATATATTCTAAGATAAATTGTGTGAAATAAAATAAATTATTATTTATATTTGTCTATTCTAATAACTAAAAAACTTCTTATATTATACTAGAAATAATATATATATAATTAATATCAGTTACTAAAGAAATTAAAAAATATAAATATTTTTACTTGTAACTTCACTCTTCTCCCTTCTATTTCTTTTAAACAATGTGGATTAATATTTTGGTACATGCATGACTTTAAAATTTAGTTCAAAGTGAAAAACTTTCATGAATGAAGCATTTTTATATTAAAAAACTGGGAGAATTATATCTGAAATTTTTTCAAGAAAATTATTTACAAATAAAGACTAACCATCAAGTCACTGCCTTAAAAAAATATAAGTCTTTGTTATCATTTTAACAACAAATAATTTTATATTAATTTTTATTTGTGAATAATCCTCTCAAAGTCTTGATGTAATTTCCTTTTTATAAAAATTCAATCTATAATTTGCATTATCCAATATTGACTTTTCAATTCACGCCTCCCCTTTCATTCTACAACTTTGCTCCTACAAACATTTTCTTCACACTTCACATCCTTTGCTCTTGCTTGCCAGTCACCACACCACACTATACTTCAAATGGCCAACCGAATGTCCCGTTCAGGCATTTATATTACCCGAAGCTACTATTGGTTGGACAAGAAGAAAACACGCCTGTTTCTAGAATTTTCGAAACTGGAAAATGTTCAATGCTACAATCAGACAGCCTTTACTTTAAATCATTGGAACATAAGATATCAATGAATGTATTGTCTTCCATTGGCAGTTATTGTCTTCTGCCATATTCTGTTTTACTTTTTAAAACAAATGTATAAGAGGGGAAAACAAACACAGCAAACATAAAGTTCGTAATATCTCAAATTTTTAATAACAAAAAAAAAAGAAGTCTTAGGATACATAAAACCAACCAATATACAGAGTACATGATTTGTTTGAATCCGGAGTGAATGTTTCATTCGAAGTGTCTGACATGCATCGAACATTTCACCCTCCCTCAACTTGCAGCAAATTTGGGGACAGAAAGAAAGCCTCTTTCTTTCCCTTTCTCTCTCCCCAAATTTGTAGAAAATTAACGGAGGGAGAACGTGTTCGGTATATCCTCATCAGAGGAAAAGCAGCAACAAGGTGCTACAGTTGGAACGCCGGCTGTGGAAATTTGAATTGATCAGAGGATAAAGATCGTGCTTTGTCACGGCCACCAACCGGGTGTTCGTTCCGACCACCATAACCAAAGACAATTTGGGATTTTGGGTAGGAATTTTGTTCTCATCCCGATCCTGAGTAGTTTTAATCGCAATTCCAGTGACCATCTGCTGGGATGCTTCTTCAATTACTTAAATTCCGCTGCATTGCACCAGCAGCACCATCATGCTGCTTTTCTTTCCGGTGAAGCCATAGATTAGATTGAGCCAGACCCAAGAAGCCAATTTAAGTTAACATCTACATGTGGCACTTCGATCCTTAGATTGGTAAGCATTGGTCTGAAAACCTCCCATGAAACAGCCGTCTCCTCATCACATGTTACACTTTTTAAATGCTCGAGTTTCATGACTGAGTCGGGCAATTCACACCTTGAGCAACCTGTCATGTGCAACTTTTCTATACTTCGTAAGCTACCAATGCCCTCTGGTAAATTTCTTAGGCTTATGCAGTTTGAGATGTCAAGAATGCTTAACTTGGAAAGCCCACCAATTGAATCTGGTATAGCTCCTAAATCAGTACAGGAATTCAGCCTCAGCACTTCCAAATTCTCCAGCCTTCCAATTTCTTGTGGCAAAGTAGAAAACTTATGGCAGTTAGAAACACTTAGCTTCTTAAGGGTTTTAATATCACAGAGACCAGAAGGCAGTTCTACCATATCTTTGCAATAGTCGATGTTCAATTCTGCTAGCATTGGCAATGAATCATAAATTGGTATCTTAGAGCTTCCAAAAGCTTGACTTGTATCACACATATAAAGGGATAATTTTTGCAGGCTCTTCAAGGTGCCAAGGGGAGGAACAGAAACCTTCTCCAGTCTTACTCTTTTCAGGTTAGATAAAGAACCCAGTATCTCAAAGTTTTCCAATTCAGAAGTGTGGAAACCATAATTAGTGCATGTCAGAACCTTTAGGCTACTCATTTTCGCAGTGAACTTCGGTAAGGAATACTGCTTCGTACGAACGTTCAATAATAGAACCACAATTTCCATTAATTGCGAGCTGCCCCAATCTGAAGTGGATGTTTCATCTGCAGAAACAATCCAATTGGCGTTAATTTAAATCACTTTGCAACTTTCTAATAGCTATTCTCTTTTAAATCTGCAAGTGTAAATTTTTAAGAAAGATATCAAACTAACCAGTTGATACAGACAATGCGCGTGCAATGGCAGGTTGCTGCGTTTGTTTAGCGCACCATTTAAGGAATATTGACAACAGGCGGAAAATAATGCTTTGCTGCTGCTCTTCCAGATACCATTGGCGACTTTTTTCATTTACGTCAATCATCAATCTTCTTCTCCGTTCAAATGGTTCTTGGTTGCTTTGATGAATTGCAAGCTCTCTTAGAAGGTCATGCTGTACGATGAAGTAGTTGCTGTAGTAATTGTCTGAATCACTTTCAACTTTCCTGGTAAATGAGCAGAGTTTAGTTTCCCAGCTAAGGAAAAATTCCAGACATGACTGAAGTATATGTGTCCTCTTGTCTGATATTATGTTAGCCTTCAACTTATGTTCTCTATTTGACGTTCAATAGAATAGTACTCGTGTAATTACACGAAGCTGCATCAGCTATCTTCGACTATATATAGCAATTATACATTAAGAGACCAGGGAAAAAAGATTAGTTAATGTACCTTGTAACAAGGAGATTTGCCAGATTCAGGGAGACTAATTTATTGATTATGGTCATTGCTTTTTTGCCGTCATCATCTAGTTTATGAAGTTCTGCCCACATATCAATGAGAGCCGCGACGGGAATTTTTTGGTCTTCCGGAAACAACCCTAGGTCCATGAAGCACTCCGTGATGATGGGCTCATCTTCCCAAACATTCAGGCTTCCTTGGAGGATGTTAAGCAAACTTGTATCAGAATCAAGAATAGAATGACCTTGCGACAATTCCTTTACCATCTTTTGCCACGTATCGTACGGTTGCCGACACAGTGATCCAGCGATTACTTTAATGGCCAAAGGTAGACCTTTACAACTTTTCACAACCTGCATTTCATTGCAAACAAATAAGGTCAGAGAAAATAATGGTTTAGGTTATGAGTTATGTCAAATTATCGCAGTTCAGGGCCAAAATATGGCTCTTTTGTAGTTTATCAACTTTTGAAATTCAGTATAATATGTATCAAACGCAGAAAGAGAAGAAAGACAATTTCTATGTTTCGTAAGTGACAGGAAAAAAAAGCACCTCTTGGACAAGATTTTCGTCGGGAATGAATGAGCTATTGTCTTTTACGAGAGCAAAGTGACGGAAAAGGGTTAGTGCGTCTTCATCACGAAGTGGTCCCAAGTGGATTTGAAGATTAACAGTTGGAATTGCAACTCTTGAAGTGATTAAAATCTTATAATCGGGAATCTGGAACTTGAAGTTCTGGACAAGGGATTCTGAGCCAGGCCAAACGTCATCCAACACCAACAATATTGGTCTTTCTGCTATTTTGCTAAAAAGAAGCCGCAACTCTTTAACTGCTTCTTCGTCGCTATGAACCTTAGGAACCCGACTTCCACAGGTTTGAAGTAGCGCCTCCACAATGACCTTAAAGTTGGGTGTTTTTGAGAAGGTCACAAACAAGATATGGTCTCTGAATTTACCTGACAAAACCAAACAGATATTTTGAATCAAGGAACATTTGAAGTCTCGAAGGTGACAATAACAACATGCTTCTTAATTTGTTGCCAATGAAATTTCTATAATATGATATAATGCTCTTGCAAGACACATTTTTCATGCCTCTTCAAGGGCGTGGATATATATTTGGGCTGCCGTAAGTTTATTAATAGACTTTTTTCGGCCAAAAGTTTATTACTAGACTAACACACACTGGGAATATGCCCGAAAAAATATCACATTGCTCCAAGGAAAATTCCCGTTGAGTATCAAAAGAAAAATTATTGCGCCTCATTTTGGCCAAACTGAGTGTTGGGTCTTAAAGCAAGGCGATTATGAATAAAAAAGAAATACCTTTGACTTCATTATCCCCACAGAGCTTGGTTGCCAAGGTGGTTTTTCCGGATCCTGCTAGACCCGTCAATCCAACGATGGATGTGCCATCCTTGAGAAGCTCCATTTTCAGACTCCAGAAGGACTCGTCCATGCCAATAACGGGTTCTGGTTTTTGCGGAGGCAAGCATTTAATTCCGTGCCCAGAATTCTCTTTCTCGCTCATCACTTGGAGAACTTGTCTGACCTCGTTCAGAGTCTCCTTCACATCCTTCACCCCATCATTTTCTAACGTCGAATTAAAAGAAGAAAAGCACTTGACAGTTGAACTGTGCCTGTCCCCCGCTTCCCTTTCCTGAATCAGCTCTTCTATTTCTTTCGTGGGGCGATCCAGGCCATCGTTAAATCTTTTGATATCTTCCACCAACGGCGTGAAATCCTTCAGCGTTGATCTGAATATTTGGAGTCTGTTCTTATTCTTGTGTGCATCGTCGATCATTTGCCTTATCTTTTTCAACAACCTCTGAAACACCGCTGCTAGATCAGCTCCTTCAATTAATTGTGCCCTTTCTCCCATGGTTGATTTCTTTTTCTGTTCCCTCGCTCTTAATTAACAAAACCAAATAAACCCAACTTGCAGATCTTGAAAGATGTTTTTTCTTTCCTTCTTTTCTATTCCGAGATGAATCAAATTTCGGTTGAATGAACTAATTTCTTTCTTTGAATCAAAACACTTTGGATGTCTATATAGTAACGCCTGAATGATACTTCGCAGAAACCGGCGCTCGCGATGATGAGAAGCAATTTCCAAGCCCTCGCTTCCCTGTTTCCTTTCCGCGCATTGACTCTCTTTTGAGACCCGCTAGCTAAAGGTGGGCAGATGTCAATTACTTTTCTTTTCTTTTCTTTTTTATTTTATGCCGACAGCCTGGATGGATATTGGTCCGTAGATTTTTTTCTAGGAAATTTCCAGGTGAGTGATATTACCGTTGGCCAAACGAGAACAAATATCCATCCAGGAAGGTGTGTATTTTACTAGAAAATTAAAAAATATTAAATTAATTTTGGCTATTAATTTCCAGGAAGAAATTGCATTAACATTAATTTATTTTTTTTTGAACCGTATATTGAAAATGTTCAGGAAGATTCTTCGTTGTTTGGCGGAAAAATCTAAAAATTTGGTCAACTAAAATACCGGTTTTAAACCTTACTTATTCTCAGTTTTTTTAAAAAAAAAAATAGAAGAAGAAAGAAAAAGCGAAATTTAAGGCCTTTCTATATTGTCTTATGAAAAAATATATATCTTATTAAAAGTTGAATTTAACTTATTAAATTTTAAAAAAAATCTTAACAAAAATTATATGTTAAAGTTTAACTTTAACAATAATATATATAAGTCTTAACAAGAAAATATCCGTTGTAAAATTGATAAACCCTTGTTACAATAAATTCTCTTGAGAAACCTCGAATGTCATTATCCTGATAAAAACTTCCGTGTTCTGAATGGCAAAAAGAGAACCCGAATTAAATAAAGAGACCGTGCAAAACGAACCAAGGAGATACTTTTCATGGTCTTTCTTCCATCTGCCCGTTAGAAACGATCAAAGGGAAATTGCCTTAGCGTTGCAAGAAATGTGTGCTGCTCTGCTGGGAATATAAAAAGGAAACATCATTCTAAGGTTTCTTGTAAGTATTTTAATTAGCAAGAGACCCTATAAAATATATAAAATACTCTCAAATATTAAATTCTGTACAATTATAAATTTGATAAGGATAAATTACAACTTGAATATGAGTTTAATATCAAGTTATCATTTTTCTTTATAAAATTGTAATTGCACAGATCTAGAATTTGGCAGCAATTTACACACTTTATAAAATTTTAAGATAATTGAAACCAGGGCTTCTCAATTATTTTCCCACATAAAAACCGCAAGCTCTCTGCCTAAACAGATGACTTTGAAACTAACCAACAGCTTAATAGTCAAATCAAATGACCGTTTCCAATGTCCTACGGAGATCTTGACCCCAAAAAATAAATAAACAAGAGTGGATAATGAGACTATATCAGATTAAACCAAGTATCCTTAACCTATGTTTTGTAAATGCTTATTACTACTTTCGCCACAAGAAAAATAAACCAATAAATTAAATAATTGCAAAGACCAATTAGTAATAATATGAATCAGGACTCGGGATAATTGCCAGGAAAGAGTTTCTGTCTTTTGATCGTACTTCCCATTGAAGACCTGCCCATAAGATCAATGGAGAGATTCAGAATTAATTATGAAAGTAATGGGCAATGTTGTGGAACTTCCCTTACAGAAGACAAGGAAATTGTGGTGTGCGACACGAAAAATAAGGTTCAGGGTCAAAATGATCTTATTGGACAGAATAAAGGAGATTAGAACGGATGGAGACATGGAAAAAACTTGAACTTACAAAAAATCAATCCCCCCAAAGTCATCGGGGCACCTTTGTACCACACCATCTTTCTTCACAAAATACTATTGTATCTCAATACAAAACTACACCATTAAAGCTGCAATTTCAAAAATTTCTCTTCATTTCCATTTTGCCATGCATAATAGCCATCCACTTGTTTTCTAACGCATAATAGCCAAACGACAGAAGCATAAGCTGCCTTTCACATACCTTCTCATTTTCTTCCCATATATTTATTTCCACTCCAGCGTGTTGCCACCAGCCACAACGCACGTGTTGGAAATGAAACTTCAAAGCCATTCTAGGCCAATATCAGCTTGGGTCACCTCTACATGCAGATCAGTAAGGACGGTTTTGCAAGGTTCCCATAAAGTAGCCATCTCTTCATCACACACCACAACTCTTAGGCCCGTAAGGTTAATGATTGTGGGTGGCAACTTGTCACATAATCTCGAGCAACATGTGATGTGGAGCTCTTCTAAATTAAGCAATTCACCCATATGATCTGGCAATTTAATAAGGCTTACACAGTAAGAGATATCAAGAAGTTTTAGCTTTTGAAGATTAGTAACTGAGTCTGGAAACTCCGCCAAATCAGAACAAGAGCTAAGCCTTAGCAATTCCAAATTGGCCAACTTTCCAATTTCATCAGGAAGTGCAGAAAGCTTGTGGCAACTTGTAATACTCAACTTCTTCAAGAAGACAATACCACACAGCCCAACTGGCAATTCCACCATATTGCAGTAGTCAATGTTTAACTCCACCAAGTTTGGCATCATATCTGAAACTTGGATGGAACAATTTTTAAAAGCTTCATTTACATTGCACATAAATAGAGATAGTTTCTGAAGATTCTTCAACTGCACTCTTTTCTCAATGAGTGAAGGAATTGAAACACGCTCCAGCCTAATTCTTTTAAGATCATACAACAAATTAAGTAGTTCTAAACCCTCTAGCTCAGCAGCGGGGTGGAAGCCATAATTTGTGATTAACATAACTTTTAGTTTACCCATTTTCTCTATGAACTTTGGTATGGTGTACTTCTTTCCTCGAAGGTTCAAAACTAGAACCTCAACTTCAGTTGGTATCAAGTTGCACCAATTAGAAGAGAATAATTCATCTGACAAAAAGGTTCAATAAGCCAAGCGAGGGATAGTCATCAGTGATAGGTAATTTACTGCGGCACTCAAGACATATCAGGGCATAAAGAGAGTTAGAGAAGGAGGAACAAACCAGTTGATATAGATAATACATGGGCAGCTATATGATGCTCTTTCTGTTCAGTCCACCACTGGGGAAGATCGTTTCCAGTTATGTTAATAATCAGCCTTTTCCTCTTTTCCAGTGGTTCCTGGCTAATTTTCCTTTGATGGATAGCTAGCTCTTGAAAAAGATCATGTCGCATGACAAAGTAGCTATTTAAGTTACCTGTGCCACTTGCAAATTTCCTGCTCAACAATAAGGACCTGCTGCTCAATCATGAATAAGAAGTTTCAAACAACACATGTGGTAACATTCATTGTAATGATTGGTTTCCCTCACCACTGCTAGTTTTGTTTAGATGAATGGCCTCCCTTTAAATTATATATATCATAGAGCCTTCCTTTTTTCTTTTTTTTTTTGGGTTAAATCATCATCATCATCATCATCTATTCTTATCAAGATCTAACTGTTAGAGATACAAAACTTGATCCTAGATTATGGTGGAACTGTGAATCGCCCTCAGTTTAAATCCAAAGAATTAACAAAATCAATCTTTCCAGCATAAAATTAAGGGTGCACTCAATGGCCTAACTAATATATTCCCGAGGATAACAGAATGGTCAAGAGCTAGCAAGCATACCGTATAACAATATCAAGCACGTTACGGGTGGCCAGTTCATAAATTTTCTCCATTGCATTTACGTCATCTTCTCCATGCAGTTCCACCCACATATCAACAAGAGAAGCTGCAGGAATCTTCTGGTCTTCAGGAAATAAACCTAGGTCCATGAAACGCTCCTTAATTACTGACTTAGGAACCGAGACATCGAAGCTTTTTAGGAGAGAATCAAGCAGATCCTCATTTGATTCAAAAATCGGACGACCCTTTGACAATTCCTTTGCCCTGCTTTGCCATACCGCAGAATGCTGCCCACAGAGTGACCTGCCAATCGCATTTAGTACCATCGGAGAACCACTGCAGCCTCGGACTATCTGCAATTTAAGAAAGTGCAAAATAGAGCTGTAAGTGGCACTTTTTTTATTTGAACTTAGAATGAGTGGTAGCAGTAGTAATAAAAAGCCACATAAAGCACCTCTCTCACAATATGATCAGGAATATCAAGGCTGCTCTCCTTCAGTTCTGCTGAGTGGCGGAAAAGCTTCATAGCATCCTCATTACCAAGGGGTTTCAAGGAATGTAAAGTGCCGAATCTTCGAATTGCAAATCTGGAAGTCACTAAAATCTTATAGTCTCTCAGCTGCATGACGAAATTATCAACAAGAGATTCTGATCGATCCCCAACATCGTCCAGAACCAACAGTGTAGGATTTTCCCCAATTTGTTTTAGCAAAAGTTTCAATTGGTCAATCGCGTCTTCATCATTTTGAGGCTCGGGCACTGGGCGACCATTGTGTTGATAAAGCTTCCGTACAATAAGGTTCAAGTTTGGCGTCTCCGAGAATTTGACGAAGAAGATATTGTCCTTGAATTTACCTAGCCAAGCCTTACACATTTAGAGGCCTTCAAACTCAATAGCATCTAATGCTCAGAATCATAGCATGTGAAGAAGTGTCATAATTTATTTTCGGATGAAAAATTTTATTTTATTCCTTAAGTCTCCAGTCCTGCTAATGTAATAAAAAAGGAATGGTTTTCATCAGTCTGTTTATAAGTCTCTGCATAGGTTAAGGATGAGAACTGAATCCTCATCTCTTCAGTGGAATCCACTTTCCACCCGATAACGAATCCATGAAGACTATTTCAACACTACTAAGAAGCAAATGGAAATGCACAATAAGGAAGAAAGAATGGAAATAAGACTGCATTCATACCTCTGACATCAACATCCCAACAGAATTTTTTGGCCAAAGCGGTCTTCCCGGAACCTGCCAAGCCAGTGATCACCATCACTGACACATCATCTCGGAGCAGCCGCAACTTCAATTCCCCAACATGAACATCCAATCCAACAGTGAATGCTGGGGGTTCAGGAGCCGAGCATTGACCCCTTTCATTTCTCGCAACCGCATTCAGTTTCTTCATTTCCACACGAATACCTCTCACCTCTATCAGCGTCTCCATCGCATCCCTCGCCGTCTGAACTTGCATATCAACTTGAAAGAACCTGACAAGTGACTGATCCAAATCTTCAAGTTGTTCCTGGTATTGAGGCTTATAACAGCATTCCCACCACTGGATTTTTGAGCACTTGAGAACAAGCTTCTCGCCATTCTTCATATCTTTAATTAACTTGTCTATTTCTTGCCCCGAGCGATCTAGTTGCCTGTTGTATAGATTTATCTGTTCGATCACTGGTTTTATTGACTCGAGGGTGGCAGCTAGGCGTTCGAGGGTGGGTCTGAACTGAATTGCCCTGGCCTTCGCTTCGAAAACCTTGCTCAACAGTTCGTCAAGTACACGTTCTATAAGCACTTCTGCCATGACTTCACCAGATGCACGAAATCACGGCTCGGTGTAAAATCTCCTCGTTGCCGAGTGAAGGATATAGAGAAATTCCCAACAGATAGAGCTGCGCTGGGGATTGAGACTTGATTCTGGCTTTTGCGATTATGGAATCGGATTATATAGAAGTTAACTGATTTTCGGAAGCTTCGCTGGTCCTTCTTGGCTCCTTGGGATAGAGGAAAAGGGTCGCTTGAGCCGACATTTCGCCATTGAAAGTCGTCTTCACATGGTCAAACACACAAACATGAGTAAACACTGAGCCGGCCCCAACGTCGTTGCTCACTCATTTTTTTATGGAATATATCGTTGAGCACAGGGAAGAGGAAGAATAATCAATTGGCATATTGACCGCTGCATTAGGTGCTGCTGTTTAAGATTCTTCCAAGACAGCAGCCGACATCAATCAAATATCTAATGTTCACTTAGCGTAAATTTCCACGTTATCAACGTAATTCTCTCTTGGATTTAGCCAAAAGAAACCTCTCTATGATGAACTTGATATTTTCGAAAGTGAATAGTAAAAAATTAAAATTCTCACCCGATCCTCCTACCATACATTCCAATTCCAATGTCATTTGGTTAAAAATCATTTGATCAAATGATGATGAGACGGGGTCGAATTGGGGATTGAAACTTCTGGTCAATTGATAAATCCGTCTTTAGCTAATATTTAGTTTTCATTTTGTCGCAAATGGGTAAACGGCGAAGCCGAAAATAAAGCATGTGAGGTATTCAGCAAGCTACTAAATTCAAAAACAAACTTATCAAGGCTTCAAAGAATCGATCTTGACAATAAAACTATTTTTTACCAACTTTCTTCTTGCATGGAGGGTGAATGCTTACAACGACGCTTCAGATACACTCTTGCCTTGTTTTTCTTCTCTGTCATGCGATCTCACTAGTGATCCAATACTAATTCACTGTGTGTGACCGAACACGAATTAAAAAATTCTAATGCTTCTATCATTGCGACTAAGTCAACGTCAACGGGGTAGGAGCCTTAATCATTAAACTAAACCTATCGTTCGGAGAAGGAAAAATAAAAAAGAGTAAAGGCTATCACTATTCTCAAATGGAACTTGTCAAAGATACAGCCATCACCATTTGTTTGATGTGTAGGTAATATTAGCATATACATTTTCAGCTCGCGGATTCTATATATGCAATACAACATGGCAACGAAGGCAATTACCGTGCTTTCTTTTCATTCGCTCTCTTCATCTCGTTCTCGTTGATTACTCTTCGTTTGATCTTCTGAATGGCCCTCTCATCAAATATGTCATAAGCCCTCTTGGATTTCACTCTCAACCACTCCACCGAACTCTTAATCCTACTCTGGTTATTGTTATAAATTACTGGAACTGTCGTGCTCGCCAGTGTACCTATTTAACAGTCACATTGAACGCCAAAAATCATAATCTAAAGAATGATCGGTAGCATGTATTCTAGAAATTGATGACGTACCTATATATAGCACAGTTAAGAGGTCCATTTTGCTCGCAACGTAAGACAGCAACATCAATCCGGCCACAGCTCCTAAAAATAAAGACCAGTCTTCTTGTGAGCTCACCCGGAACAGCAACCTTATTCCTTCTTCGATCCATGCTCGAGCAACGTACGCCATTTGCAGAGCTGACTCTTCGGTCAACTCCAAATCCGACAAGGTCAGAGGTGCCCTGAATTCAACAGAAATGATTAATCAGCAGGTAGAAAATCCCACTGTCCTGAATAGAAATTTGTGAAAGCAGAGTAAGGCACTTGCTTGCCAAAAAGTCTAAGCGTATTGGCCCAGAGGAAGGATGAAGCGACAAGAAACATGGCCAGCCACGAGAAAAGAGTAGCGAAGTGGAATTGATACACTTGCAGCAACATCCATGTTGCGGTTGCCGCAATGAGAATTGTCGCGGTCAATGACCTTCTTCTCCACAGAGCTACGTCCTTCACTAATGTGCCACACAAAGCCAAGTGCACCGTGAACACGCACATTATCTGAGTGAAATTATAAATGAATAATGAACGCTTTTGCTATGCGTAAAATAGCAGAGTAGAACTACCTGGGGAAGGAGAAGGAGCTGAAGAATGTGTTTGGGCAGACATGATGAGGAAGAGATAATGATACGCTTGCCTTGTTCGGTTTCATGGTATGTATCATGTAGTTTCAAATATCAATCATTCGGCGGAGGTGACCAAAAACACTGTCGCTGGTTCTAGGACCTACACGTGTAGCTATCCCGGGTGACGTGTGAAACTTGCAGGATTCGTGGCACTTCCATATAAAGTTGCTCGGCATCTCATTATTTTAGAATGTTATAAAAGGGGATCGAGTTTAATGGCCCATTTCTTGTGATAGGATCGTGCCTGTTAAGATTGGATCCAAAGTTGTGGACTGCACTGGTTCACAAAGTGGGCTTTTACCTTTAAGAAGGAAGCTTCACTTCTCATTAAAGATTAAACTTTGCACGCTTATGCATGCAAGTTGACAAAAGATTAACATATTAAAATTCATTGTCAAAATAGAAATTTAAGACTAACGGACAAATGATGCGTTATTCAATTTTTTGTTTTTTGTTTTGCCAGTCTTTAGTTTGGAGGCTTTGCCGCAGAACGTCATTGAGTGGGAATTCAGATCGGTCCATTGGTTTGGCATGACATTCGTTTTGACTTTTGACTGTTCTTATTTTTTCGATGGGTTTGGGGTCGTCGCTGTGAGCTAGGTAATTCATATCAACGGGATCTAAATTGCTTGAGAATGTCTTTGAGGTACTTGCACTGAATCGGGTTGTGATAGACTGGTTCCCATATGTTTAATGAAAAGAAGATAATACAAAATAATTAAGTTTATGAAACAGAAAACATAAAATTGCAGCCGGCACTGTTACAGAAATTAAAGTTGAAACTCAGAATACCCAGACACTCCTAGTTATTTCATCCTTCAAAAGTATCAAAGTACTTGACAATGTTAATTAATGATATCAGATCAAATTCAATTATAATTATATGATAATTATGTTGAAATTGACAAATCATGGGGAAAATATGGTATTACTTTGATTTCAGATACAGAATTAAGCTTGGCGAAAATATGAATTAAACAACTTGAAAGTAGTCAAATTTGGATGCAAAAGCCGGGCAAAAAGATAATCACCATAGATAATAAATACAAATCAACATTTTAATATAATCAGAGCAGAAAACAGGAGCATATCATATTGCTGATTAGCAATACATCTCTGATATAAGGTGGATGTAGGTCGAATTTAACCATTTTGTTTCAATGTCTGGCGGATACCAAATGATGGTGCTCTTCTCTTGGTCCTTCGTCTTCTCTTAATTTCCATTCTCCCATGCAAATGCGGTCCACAATCCTTACAGAAAAACATTTTAATTTACAGACGACGACACTATCATTGCATGAGGCCATTTTCATGACTGTACACACCACACAGTGGTTTCACTCCCCTTGACCGAAATTGACGCCTATCATGGAATGATGCACGGGAGAATTTGTACTCACCATATTTCACCTTTTTCTTTTTCTGTTGTTTGTTCGTGGGCCCTTTCTTTCCTTTTTGCTCTATCTCCTTTTCCTCAGCTTGGCCGAGTTTAGATTATGTTTTGTCGCTGGCATCACCTGCAACTCGCGTGAGTGCCCATAATTTGGCGCCCCAGCTCTGCACTTTCTTCTCTTTTATTTTTCTTAATAGTCAATAGTGAATCAGTGTTAATCATTTTATCTAATTCACGCGCGCAAACAACACACGGATACGCACATTTCTGATTTCTTCCGTCGGTTCTAGCTTCTTCTGTTGTGCTTGGATTAACCCTTAACGATCAAATGTATCACACGTTCCGGGATTTCCTTTTCTGGGGAACTTCCTTGCTTATATTTTGATCTTTGATAACAGAAAGAGAGGATTACATAACTAGACATGAAAACGGGGTCTCTCATAATTTACCATGCTAGTTCTCCTCCTAATATCGAATATATTTACTGCTGCACTGAGTTTATATATATATATATATATATATTGAGGGAACAAAACTGAAGGAAACTGGTGAATTGGTATAGCATTGTGAAAAACCAGCACAATCAGAAAAGCTGAAAAGGTGGCGAAGAGAAAAGCCGGAGATCAGTGGCGTGATTTCAGGGGTGTTATGGTCAAAATGATGGGCTAAGGCCATAGCTTTCACTTTAATGATGATTCATATGTGAGTTGTGCATCACTTTAGTTCGAAGCAATAAATAAACATTCCCACACCAAAGACAGAAAACGCGTTGCCGGCCCCCCGCGAAATCCCATCAATTTTGCTTCCTTAGAAACTAACAAACCTCAATAAATTCTCATATCTTATCACTGCAGTCACACCTTCTTGTGAGGTTGTTATATAACGCTCCGAGCTCCAGTGGTCAAGACAAGGGAAAACTGGTGCTTTCATTTCATTTCAGTCTTAGAAAGTGGATTGGGATGCTTTACTTTTAATTGCTTCTTTCAAGCATTACTGTTCTGAGTGAGGTTTGAGTGGAGGTACCATGGGAAGCACAAGCTTGTTCCTTCTGCTGTGCTTTGTTCTGGCTTTGCTGAGTATGTGTCTGGTGAAAGCAGAGGACGCATATAAGTACTATACATGGACTGTCACCTATGGGACTCGTTCTCCTCTCGGCATTCCCCAGCAAGTGGGTTATTACCTGCATTCTTGCTTCTCATCAATTTTCATTTGGCTAACAAGGTATTAATCTATGCATATTTCTGATATTTCGGTCTTTTACTTCTTTTGTTCAAGGTAATTCTTATCAACGGTCAGTTTCCCGGGCCTAGGCTTGACGTTGTGACTAATGACAATATAGTTCTCAACCTGGTGAACAAGCTGGACGAACCATTTCTTCTGACTTGGTGAGTTTCTCTGTTTCTCTCTACCATATTTTTTTTTTTTAATTGTAGTGTGTCATTGAATTGAGGACATGTTTTGATGACGTTGAGACGAAACAGGAACGGTATTAAGCAAAGGAAAAATTCATGGCAAGACGGAGTACTGGGAACCAACTGCCCCATTCCTCCAAACTCAAATTACACGTACAAGTTTCAGGCCAAGGATCAAATTGGAACCTACTCATACTTCCCATCAACTCAGCTCCACAAAGCATCGGGTGGCTTCGGGGGACTCAATGTCTATCATAGATCAGTCATCCCAATCCCTTATCCCGACCCTGACGACGATTTTACTTTACTCATCGGTGACTGGTACAACTCCGACCACAGGGTAAGCTAGATTATTTTTTAGACTTTTATATTCACGAGTTATATAAATAAATAAAGCCGTGCATACTTCATCCAGCTAAACGCCCCTGCTTCCTCTCCTTCTCGTGTCCGTAGAAATTAAGACAAACATTGGATTCTGGAAGATCTCTTGCCTTTCCAGATGGCCTCCTTATGAATGGCCAGGCCCACACTACCTTCAATGGAGACCAAGGTCAGATTGTGTTTTCTAAGGTTATATTATAAACTGTGCCATTTTTTCCCCTATTTTTTGGGGATAAAAGTCTCATTTACCGATAATGGCTGTTCATGCCTTCAGGAAAAACCTGCATGTTCAGGATCTCAAATGTGGGCTTATCAACGTCGATTAACTTCAGGATACAGGGTCACATCCTTAAATTAGTGGAGGTTGAGGGATCACATACCATCCAAAACCTTTACGAGTCTCTCGACGTGCATGTGGGCCAATCCGTCACCGTTTTAGTAACCTTGAATCAGCCACCAAAGGACTACTACATTGTTGCCTCCACCAGATTTACCAAGAAAGTTCTCACTGCCACTGCAGTTCTACACTACGCAAATTCCCTTGCCCCAGCTTCCGGACCTTTGCCTGCTGCTCCTGCCTACCAATATCACTGGTCTATGAAACAAGCTAGAAGCTTTAGGTTACTATTCAGAAAATATAGCCTTTTGGATTTGGATACCATATATATATATATGTATGTATATTCATAGATTTTGACGTAGTGTCTGCTTATGCAGATGGAATTTGACGGCGAATGCCGCTAGGCCTAACCCACAGGGATCATTCCATTACGGGAAGATAACTCCAACGAAGACAATAGTTTTGGTCAATTCAGCACCTCTGATTAATGGGAAACTGCGTTATGCTGTGAACAAGGTGTCCTATGTTAACCCTGACACTCCTCTCAAGCTTGCTGATTTCTTCAACATCCCCGGAATCTTCAGCGTGGACTCCATCCAGAGCGTGCCCACTAATAACGGTGCGGCAACTATAGCTACCTCTGTGATCCCATCTTCTCTGCACGACTTCATCGAGGTTGTTTGCCAGAATGACGAAAACACCATGCAGTCCTGGCATCTCGATGGATATGACTTTTGGGTCGTCGGGTACGTGAGCTAATTAGATCTGTATTTGCTTTCAGTTATCACCTCAAGAGAAATGATATATTGATTGTTCATTGAAATAAATGCAGGTATGGTAAGGGGCAGTGGACACCAGCCAAGAGAAGTACATATAATCTAGCGGATGCCTTGACTAGGCACACAGCACAGGTATCAAAACAGTGCTAGTTTGGAAGAGTGAAATTAAATAAGAATGTTTTAACATGAAAAGGACTGACAGTAGAATGTGGTGAATGCAGGTGTATCCAAAGTCATGGACGAGCATACTGGTGTCGTTGGACAACCAAGGAATGTGGAACATGAGGTCTGCAATGTGGGCAAGACAGTATCTCGGGCAGCAGTTGTATCTGAGAGTGTGGAGTGCTCAACGCAGCTTTACCAGTGAGTATGATATTCCCAGCAATGTCCTGCTTTGCGGCAAAGCCCTTGGACATAGTCCTTGATTACCGTCACCCCTCCCATTCCTTGCAGTATTTGCTGCTCATCACACTTTGGCTACGAAATCCCTAAGAGGAAAAAAACAGAGTGTGAGAGAGATATAAATCTGGAATTTGTATCCTTCTCATGATGTATTTTGGGAGTGTTCGGACCACATTTCAATTGCCCAATGTAGAGGATCACTTTCATATATAGATTTTTCTTCCTAGTGCGTGCCTTTTCATACATTTATTTGCTCTATTATTGGAAAATATGAGATGATGAGCAACCATACTTTGGCAACAGAAGGTCTTGAACCAGGAAAATAACCCAGGACAATGGACAAAAGTTACAAATAGGGAAAAAAAATAGGAAAAGATGCGAGAGAATTTAAAATAAATCTCTCAGGAAAAAAAAAACAAGAAGAATTATACACAAGATCTACATAAAAGAATTAATTACTGTAAAATTTATTAACAATTAAATTAAGATCATTAATAACACAATATGTTGTTATTTTTTTTAATTTAGTTGTTTATAGATTTTGTAGTAATTAATTATATTATGTGAGATTTTAATATAATTTTTTTAAAAAAAATCTCTCTAGGCATATTATCATATAGGAGTATAACTTTTCTTATTTCTCCCGTGGACTCTTGGTGCTAAACAACGAAAAATTGTGTTATCATTATCAATGGTTTTTATGACTTTCATTATGACAAATCTTGGGGCATGATCTATTGGGTCGATATCGTTATCGATTTTGAGCCAAACGCAGTTTGTTGGGCGTTAAGGTGTTGGGTATTATCCGTAGAAATGCTGTTGATTTCGGGTTATTGTCATTTCGTCAGGCTAAAAATATTAAACCTGGAAAAATAAAAAAAAAAAGTCAGTCGAGAACCTTCTAAATTATTGTGGAGTAATAACTAATAATCAAGGAATACGTTTGTATATCTGGTTTGCAAAAAAAAAAAATTATATATTTATGTACTCCCTTCAATTTTATTTATAAAATACCTTTTAAAAGTAATTTTTAATTTAAAATATAAAATATCTTATAATAATTAAATATTTTTTTAATTTTATCCTTTCTTAATTATTGTAAAAGTATTTAATATAATTGTATTATTTAAAATTAAAAATAAAAATAAAAGTATATATCATTTTTTTTATAATATTAAATAAAAATTAATTTTTTTAAATGTATGAAATTATTAAAAATATTTTATAATAAAAATAGGAGGGAGTAAATATAATATGAAAACTTTAACAAACCTCAGTCTACAAGGAAGACTTGGAACTGAATGTACGTGAAGTGCGTTGGCAAAAAAGAGAAGGGAACAAAAAACGTGAACTATTTCGTCTCACTCACTAATGATGAAAGAAGCAGTGCAGGCAGTGGGGCACGTGACGAAATTTAATGCGAAGACTTTTTTTTTAATTATAAGGTCACAGTAAAAATACTGTATAAAAAGACTAAAGTCAGCTCATATCCAAAAATATAATGCTTCTACAATCTGTTAATGCGAAGACATTTTAGAGTAGCCTTTGAAACACAACCATGTGTACTACCCCAATGTTGATCTTTCTGTCTCTCGGGATCTATCACGTTCACTACTGAGCTCAGAGTTGAGCTATGCAAACATTCATTAAATTATTTTTCTCTACTTTGGGAACCATTCTGAATAAATTACTTCACATGCAATGCACGCTCTCCCGTTCATTCTTTCTTTAATCCTTTTCTCTTTATTGGCCAGTCTCGCGTTCATTATTTCTATTATTTACAGGACTTTATGTATACATGCTTGGTAATTAAATTTATTTATAAAAATTAATGAAGACATAAAAATTAAATTATAAGAATAAAATATATTAGTACTGATTACTAATCACACGTACGTATCCGTTATTACCATTTCATGACTTATTAGCTTAATTATTATAAATATTTCTTTTGAAGAATAAAAAATATTTACTAGCCACGTGTATGTACAGTGTACACACAGTTCGATAATGTTGATTTAGTGGACCTTTAATATGATCAGGTTTCTAAATAAATTGATTAAAAACATGATACACACACACACACACACACACACACACACCTCCAACTGCGCAACAATTTGCCATTGAAACAATTTCGCGTTTGTCTGAAAAGATGATAATGGATGCAAAATAAGATCATAAAATTCACCGGACAATACAATGATTGTCATTGTCTAATTGAGATCCACTCTCGGCTCCGGCGCGCCCGCGTTCTTAGATCTCCACTTTCTGCCACCAGCCATCAAGTTGAGCTTTGGGTCCATCCAAATCCCAAACTCAATGATTCTGATTTGAGTGCATTCTTTGAAGTTACCTCTTCTTCTTTTTTAATTTTTAATATTTGAAGTTATAGGAATATATTTTTAATTTAATTAAATTACATTTTGATAAAAAAAAATCATAACAAAAAAATTAAGATATCAACATACATATACATAGATTTAAAAGATTGAGCTAAGCCTGAGCTGAGTCCAAGCTCGCGTCCACGTACGTACTTCGCCATATATACAGGAGTTCATAACCCTGGGACTTTATCCCCCCCCCCTCTTTTTTTAGTTTCTGGTACGTGCATTTCTTTCTTTGCCACTCATATTAAGGTTTTATTGGCTTTGAAAAGATACATTAATCCTGTTTCAATTAAGGTAGTTTTTGGGTTAAAAAAAGAAAGAGTCCATAAATTCTTTATCTTTCTCCTTTCTGCGCTCTTCCTGGTCTATTCAAACTGATAACTCCTTGATCTGAAGTCGTACCCGTCCGGCACTGTCAAACATTGACTTCACTACCTCGACGCACACAAACGCGCATATCATTGAGTGTAGTCTGTTAAAGATTGGTCCAAAGGTTTCTGAATGCCTTGTTGAAACGTCTCTTCGAAGTTTGGCACGCAGATATAAGAAAATGGACAGGGTATAGCACACAAGAAGATGAAGGAAGCCACATTCACGCATGTTATTCTTGGAATTTTGGCTTGCTAGGGTGCTGTGTTCGTGAATGCAAAAGATACGTACAGTTATTTTACGTGGGAAGTGAGATATGGAACAGCAAGTCCCTTGGTTTTCCTCAACAGTTAAGTCACATCCTTAACCAGTTAACCTCTCCCTCTAACGTCTTTATTTCCTTCGTACTATCAAAAGGGTCTGACTATATGTGTTTACTGCCTTATCAGGGTATTCTCATCAACGGCCAATTTCCAGGTCCAAACATAGATGCCGTCACCAATGACAATATCATTTTAAATATCATTAACAAGCTTGATGAACCTTTCCTCATCGCATGGTGATGATCGGATACCTTTCTTTCACCGTAAACTATGATTTTGGGTAATTATGTAACAGGTATTATCTGTGGTGGAAAACAGGAATGACATCAAACAGAGAAGAACTTCATGGCAAGATGGAGTTCTAGGGAACAACAGCCCAATCCCTCCAAACTCAAACTGGACATACAAGTTCCAACTCAAGGATCAAATTGGAACTTACAATTATTTCTTTTCTACCAAACTTCATAGAGTTGCCGGGGGATTTGGTGCTTTCAATATTGACCAAAGGTCTATGGTATCCAAACCATATCCTGAACCGGCGGAAGATTTCACCTTGCTCCGTCATGATTGGTTCAAGATCGACCACAAGTTTTGCAATTCAAGTTAATATAATTATTCTCTAAATACTGCTTTCCACTCCCATAAATGGGGTATCATGGAATGCTGTAACGTAACCAAAATAAGAATTTGAATTTCAGTCGCTGAGGCGACAATTGGACGCTGGCAAACCTCTTCCTTTTCCTGATGTTCTTCCCATAAATGGCCAAAAGAATTCTGCCGTGTTTACCGGTGAAAAAGGTAACCGTCTCCGTTCCCTATATTCAGATAACGAAGAGTTTAAGATTAAATCTCTTAGGTTGAGAATAACGTATTTTCACGGGGAAAACTTACAAGATCAGAGTGTCCAATGTGGGGATAGCAACCTCCATTAACTTTAGCAACCTCCATTCTTCGTTATGTTAGATCCAGCAAAAAGGCCTCAGGACCTTTACCTCCAGGCCCTACTAATCATTGGTCCATGAAGCAAGCCAGGACCATCAGTTAGTAGAAAACTAAATGTCCCTTTTTAACATTAAAAAAAAAAAATCAATTAGAACTCTGCTACAGTCGATCATTTTTTGTGACTCTGTTTTTTTTTTAAAAAAAAAAAATTGTTTGGGGAAAGGTTGAATTTGACGGCAAATGCAGCTCGGCCGAATCCTCAAGGGTCATTCCACTACGGAACCATCCCAGTTGTAAGGACAAAGGTGTTAGCGAATTCTAAAGCCGTTATAAATGGAAAGTTGAGATGTGCTGTGAATGGGATTTCCTACGCGGATCCAAACACTCCATTGAAGCTGGCTGACTAGTTCAACATTCCTGACGTCTTTAACAGTTTAACCTCAAAACTATCAAAAATAACCCTCCTCCTCCGGGTACCCCTGCTAAGCTAGGAGTCTCTGTCGTCGTGGGACTCGCCCTTCAGGACTTTGTCGAAATTATTTTCCTCAACAACGAGACCACTGTCCAACCCTGGCACATGGATGGATCTAGTTTCTATGTAGTCGGGTAATATAATCTCTCTGTCCCTCTCTCTCTCTCACTCACTCACTCTCACGCACACACCCACGCATGCAGGTCTTGTCACATATGTAAACTCTCATCCGATTTTGGAGTGTTTAACCAAGAACGAGTTGGAATGTAAAATGTTCGGGTACGGTTATGGTGTGTGGAAGGCTGACGTGAGAAGACGTCACAATTTGATTGATAGTGTTCCGAGGCAACAGTTCGGGTGTATCCGAATTCCTGGAGTGCAATATTGGTGTCTTTGGACAATAAGGGTATGTGGAACTTGACATCTGCAATATGGTCTAGGAGGTACTTGGGGGAAGAGTTGTATCTGAGGGTCTGGAACAATGAAAAGAGCCTCTTCACTGAGATTTGTCCGCCTCCCAATCTACTGTTTCGTGGCAAGGCCAGGCACCTGCACTAGTCAGTCAGAGTCAAAAAGAAACATTTTTGTTCACTTCGATTACTGTTGGGGAGCGTAAATTGTAAATCTGAATATCTTCTTTTCATTCCTATTATTGTTTTTCCTTTAGAAATTTCAGTTACGAGTGGGTGACTGTCAAATACAGTGAAATATGCACGAGTTTTGGAATATCGAGGTCATTATATGAGAAGAAATGCTGAGGTGCCCTTGCAGTAAGCCATGGTAAATCTACCTTTTATACGATTGAAGTATATTTTTAATCCACTAAACTTATGTAAAATTTTATTTTTATCTCTCAATTTTATAAAGTATTTTGTCAATCATTTAACTCTAATATTATTAATTTTTTATTAATTAAACTAAACTGTATTAGAATTAAATAACTAAAAAATACTGTATAAATTAAGAGGTGAAAGTGAAATTTTATATAAAATTAAAAGATTAAAATTACATTTCAGCCTTTTCATATTGTTTGCTACGTTTCAAGTTCTTTCAAGCTTCCACGACCACATATTTATCAGTGATATATTCATATATATAACGTGCGACACCGCCCTACCGCAAATGTACATGTGCGCCCAAATGATTTATTTATTTTCTAGTTTTAACAATATGGAGAGACTGGTGAAGGAATTTATACTCCGGAGTTACGCTTTAACAAAAATCAAGGTTAACTAACAATAATAGCTTTGCAATAATGGAATCAAAGCCTCTACGTACCTTGATGTCACAGCTTCGCAGTTACCAGTTCTAGTGGAGCAATTAACTACTACTCTATATTATTGACGTAAACTTATTACGTTTTGGACAATTGGAATTGGGATGGGCTATATATATAGAGAGAGTAATTTAGCAACCGATCCGATTCCTTAAGGTGTGAAAATGGTTTCAAAATTCAGACTAAGCAGAAGCACAGGCCTAGCGCGGGGCATTATAATTTCTCAGCCATCACAACATATCCTTAATTCGAAAACTAAGTAGTTTTCTTAATTAACCAGCGGGATTTTTATAATAGGTAACAGACCACCGATATGAAAGCCTAGCTTGTTGAAAAATGAAAAGACATTATTCTGTGTGTTAATTTGAGAGAGAGAGAGAGATATATATAGTGAGGCTCTAAGGGAATAATGAAAGTAGGCGAAAGCGAAGAAACAGAAGTGTGTCAGGCATAGGTGTTTGAAGGTAAGGCTGCAACTGGATTCCTTGTTCACCAACAGCAAGAATCTAACGTTATCTAAGGAAATTCTTTCTGAAGCCTGCCTTTTTCATCTCAATCCTCAAATAATTTATCGTTTCTCAAAACTACTGCATATGCTACCCACCCACGCCTCCACCATCACCATATCCGCCCACCTTCAACTCTTAAAATATACACTGTATTCTAAACCCCAAGAGTTTGAGTTTACCAACGTTCTATATCATATTCTTCTACATGAGCTTTAACAGATCTGTCTATGATCTTTAGCTTGTAAAAGATATGGGTTGTGATCTCTTTTAATCTCTGTATTCTCTTGCCTATTTTTAAGGACCCACACCCACTTCTTCACTTACACAGAAGGTGCAAAATTTTGTTTCAGGTGCAGTTAAAGTAAGAGACAGGAAAAAGGAAAAGAGTTGGGGGGATAATAAAGGAGAGATTTGAATACTAGAAACACTCCGTTTTAATTTCCATTCAATTTTAGCACTGCTTGGTCCTTGAGAACTAAGCCAAACATTACATTGACCCAAACATACAGAAGAAAGCAAGAAGTGGGAAACGTTCAAAAAAACTGATGGTACGTACATATCCATATTCATATACCACTCGAAACCAAAGACAAGCGAAGCAGAAATTAAAAGCCCTAACATACCAGAGAGTCCAGAAAAATATCTTGGAGAGAGAGATATTAAGATGATGGTAGAATGGAGTTAAGGATATGCAGTACCATTGGTGGTGGAAAGATCAAACCACGAAAGGGTTGGATTCCATGTGTACCCCAATTGATCGTCCGCAGCAACTGCCGGAGCTGACTCCAAATTAGCAGATATAGAAGAAGATGCATGGGAAGAAGAAGCCATGTTCCCCAGAAACACCTGTGACGAGTTATTGTCGCTACAATAATTACCTGCTGCTGATGACCTTAGCCTCTGGTAAATTTCTTGAATTCCACTGCCCTCGTGCTCTCCAACTATGGACCGGCCATCTTGATTATTATTATTATTATTATTATCATTATTATTAGTACTGCTTCTCCAGATAGAGCTGCAGAGCCCAAGCGCGGGGAATTGCCTAGCAGAATCGAAGTTTAGGGCTCGACCATTAATTATCCCATTTCCAACTACTGTTTCAGACACCATCAAGTCCCCTTCTTCCTTAACAGCATTGACGGATATGGGAAGACTAGAGATAGGGTTAGGGTTATGGTTTTGACCAGCTCTCAGCAAAGCTAACACGTGAGAATTTTGAGGCGAGCCCCATGGAATCGGGTTTGAAGCAAGGTCGTGGTCGATGAACCCGGCCACCCCGAGCACCGACCTTTCAAGCTCTGATGGTGAAGCTGTTTTCATCTTAGCCACGCTCGTCTTCACCACGGAGTTGGATGCGCCCACGTTCCTATTCTTCCGGCAACCACCACCAATTGGAACATTCCTGAGAGCACCACCTTTGGTCCAGTACCGGCGACATGTTTTGCAGAAGTGGCGAGGCTGAGTGAGGTTGTAGTTATTGTAGTAACAGAACTTCGTGTTGGAAGAATCACACCGCGGGCACCTCAGATTCTGGTTCTCCGAATTTGTCGAGGTGGCAGCAGCCGCCACCGTGGCCGTAGAAGTGGTGGTGGGGGTGGAGGAGTGAGATGAAGAAGAAGAAGAAAGGACAGGAGTATGAGATTTAGTGATGAGCGGCAAAATTCCCCCGGCTCCATCAGTGGAGATTTTCCTTTGGCCTGCTTTGAGGCCTGCACCGCTTAACAGTTCCTGGATCATCTTCTTTATGATCTGTGTGGATCTACAACAATCCAAAACACACGAAAAGCAAAAGGGCGAGTCTTTTAGAGTTAGTGGAGAAAAAGCTAAAATTAAAGCGAGTAGGTTTCGCCCTCTGTGAGCGGATATATGTATGCGTAAGAGTCTAAAATAATAGATTGGGGGGTATATAGAATTATAGCACTTGCCTTTGCGGAGTTCAATTCAATTGGATTGGGTTGTAGGACAGCTTCTTTTGTCGGTCAGGTCCTTGTTTCTGCAAAAGAATATATATAGAGTTGGGGACTCTGCTTTTGAGAGGAAAGCTAGCCATCTAACAACCATTTACCCTATCCAATAATAAGAATAACTCATGAGTGTGCCATTTGCTAAACAAATGGCGTCAATTAAGAGTCAAATGGAAAATATGATTCTCATTTTTTCCGAAATGCCATTATTTCTCCGAATGATCCGATGATTCCAATTCATAACCAGTCAGAAGAGATCTTAATGCACTGATTAATTATTACCTCTTCTAACATATATATAACTAAATCATACGTGCGGTCTTCACAAAACAATTATGACAGGAGGAGCGAAATCATTTTGCTTGTCCCACTTAGGACTATGAAAACTGTCAATGAGTCATCATGATTTTTCTATCCATTATATCCGACCAAACATTTTGAATTTTAGTGGTCTTTCATACTCATCTTTATCTTACTTTGCAACCGAAGAGCCAAGTGTTGTATGGCTGCAAATTGAATGTTCCAAATTGGTGGGTTTGGGGCATATTTGAGTGGTGTGAATGAGTGCAATTGTACTTTGCTTCAACGCATAACACTAATCTATTAGGACGGAGTGGGGAAGGGCACAAACTTAATATATAGCAATCAAGTTTTGAAAAAGAACAATCTTGATTCTGGGTTGGCAAGCGGAAGATGCTGCTTGGCGTTGAGAAATGATGATTACAAGTTCAAGCAGAGAGGTAATCACGTGGAAGTGGGCGTGTAAAGTTGAATGTCCCTAGTCCCAACTAAAAAGCCACTTCGCACCCGAAACTCATGGCCTCAGATTGCCAACCCCCACACTCCCTCCATTACCAACAAATTAACCCCATCATATGTACCTCAGTCCTTCTGTACTGCTCAGTCCCCTCACATTCCAATTATCAAACCTATATTGGCGCCCTATGATCCTGCCCATCACATGTATGTTTGTTTTTTGAGTTAAAGAAAACCTAATTTGAGTTTTACGATCATTTCGTTGTGCGTAAACATGTGAATTCTCCCTGCATCAAAAGTTAGTGGTAAAAGAGATCCTATATGACACCTAATTTTTCTAGGTCACCTAGCCAACACTTCCGACAGCTCCTCTCTATAATATGAGTTGAGCCTGCAAAATTGTGGTGAGTTGGGTTGAAAAAAATGCTCTTTTTAAAATAAGGGTCAGGTTAGGAGCGCACCACATAATTTAGATTCACAGTGAACTAACTCATGGATTGAGGGGTTAGCATGTTTATTATTATTATTACTTTAACTCTTATAATAAGTGAGTGGATTTAGAGCAATTACCAAATCCAGATCCATTATTTATTGTCTATATCCAATGAGTGATGGAAAGGAGAGGAAGGTATATGCTATAAGATTTCTTTCAAAATTAATTTAAATCAGGATAGATAAATAATATTAATATTTATATAAACGAATAGAGATGAGGAATACTATGTATATATTCATAGTAAATATGTTTAATCGATCTGATTCAGAATATAAAATAATTTAAAATCTTATCCTTGGTTTTTTTTTTATTCACTCACATACCTTACACTTCTCTCTAACATGTTTGTGATTGAGTATATGTTTATTTGGATTGTGTTGTATTTTAAATTTGTATTGTGCTTTTTTTTTAATGATTTAGAAGGAGTTTTACTGTCATTTGCATAATTAGTTTTTAGGAAAAAAATGATTTTTTTACCACAAAAATAATGAAAAGAGGTGAATCTATAATTTTTAAAATTAAAAAAAAAATATTTTACTAGTGCAAAAAAAATTTCATAACAGTTTTAAACCTATTTTCACTACACAAGAAGCGGTGTAGTGAAAATAAGTGTAGTTGTAAAGGAAGACTTTTGGTGACAGTGAATTATGAAACTATCATGAAAAGGTAAGACTTACAATGACAATTTTAATATGAACTATCGTTCATGATAGTTAATTGTGAAAATTGTCATTGCATAGCTTATCTTTTCGTGATAGTTTTGGTCACAACTGTCACCATAAGTGTGTTTTTTTATCACAATTTGATACGTAATTGTTGTTGTATGTGTCCTTTAAAAAAAAAGAATGCTAATTTGGTATGCTCTACATCCCTTACTTACAAAAACTTGTATTTATATATAAACAAGAGCTCCAAAAACAAGTACAAACATATCCATTGAAATTTGTATATATCCAATATAAATATTTATCTAATTATTTACTCTAATCTTATCCATTATAGAAAGTAAGTATACCAAATATTTTGTATATGTCTCAGCTTTTGCTTGGAATATGACTTTAAACAATTAAAATATTGCATATCAATAAAAAAATATGTGTATGAATATTAATTCAAGTATAGGGTAAGCTATAAAATATAAATTATTTTTAACAAATTGTTACCTTCTCAAATGAGTGGATTAATACCTTGAATGATGATTTCATGCATGAAAATCATCACTTAGTAATGATACTCTACACTTTTAGGTTGTCAAGCACACTGTTAAAAAATTAAAACCAATTCAATTTATAAAATCAATATTATAATCTTTATTCTAATTTGAAAAAAAATTAAAATACTTATATGTATACGTACCCTGTAAAATCTTGTAATATTCTCACTCCACTAAACATAATTAACCAATATAGCTCCTGGTAATTAGAGACTTAACTTAAAAAGATGATTACCAAGGTTTAATTCAAAAGTAAGGGATCCCAAGTTTTTTAAATAAAAATGAGTTTAAATTAATTAAAATCTTTCATATCAGAGTAAATAAGTTACGGAAGCATGAGATATCTCAAAGAAGTGAAAGAAGTTGAAAACAGTTAAAAAACAAAACATATGTTGTAATACAGGGAAATGTGCCGCAGCTTATGCACACTGCGCCGCGGCGTGTTACACAAAAATTCAACTGATTCTGCTGTCATTTAACAGCAAAATCGAGAAACTTCAGACGCGCCCCAATTCTTTGTCCGACGTCTGAATGACGTGATCTAGGTGTCTACGAAAAGCTCTTTACATGAACTAGCTAATGGCATGGGTTTCACTTCTAAAACAAGTTGGACACCTAAACACATTTTAACCACTTTTTAATACTTTTACATGAAATGGGTGTCCAAAACCCTCAACATGTGCCAAAAGCCTTTTCTAACACTTGAACCAAGTCCGTTGGACTCAGGACTACTAATACAACACGTCACTCACATTGAAATCACAGCATAACAAAAATTCACTCCTCAACCCCTTTTTACCCAAAAACAGAGAGGCAAGTATATTGGCATTACTTTATACCCAAAACAATCAAAACATACTCAAATGTCTATTTCTACACTTGTACTAGTATTTTGGCCTTATTAACAAATATATATCAACATACACAAAGATTCAGGGCTCAAAATATAAATATAACATCCCTAACAACAAAATAATACAAGTGTGATGGCAGGCATCTTAGAATTAGCAAACATATACTATTACATAAAATAAACCAAGCTAGAGGCATACAGAAAGGAATATGCTAATTCTTAACCTCTTTAGCCTTCTCCCTCTCAACACTAGAGTTAGAGCCTGAAAAGTGTTAAATGAAAAGGGTGAGTCTAACCACTCAGTAACAATGATAAATCCTACTCTATGCAATTATATATCAATCATAAATTAAGTGTATGCTTAAGAAACCAAGTATGCAAAACAAGCTTACATATATCATAATTTGTCATTTATTATTAAATAACTTCTTTATATCTTATAAACTAGGTGCATTTTCACCATATTCTCAAATATGTGACATAACCCATTATTCACGTGACTTGCCACTACTTAATACGTGTGACACGTTATATATTTACTTAGGCAATGATCAACCAACCTTATATCCTTCTTATTTTCTCAGACCAAAACCGTAGGTTGTAATACTAATTAAGGCTCTATTCACGTGATTGGACTACCCAAGCTCACCAATCATGAGGTCTGACTTAGTTAAAGATCACAGGACTCACTCTCAGACCAGGCTTCTCCTGTTCTTGAATTCCTATAATGTCTCATACCCTAGGCTATTCTTCTCATTGAATCGATGGAGATAGCTAAGTTCTAGTCCCTTAACAAACTGCGGGACAAGGCCATACCCCCGTGCACCGAAGGACAGTCTAAATACCAGATAAATTTTCTCTACTCTCAATCTCTAGGCGAACTCTCGCCACTGATTATGCTATAATCAATACTAACTTATTTTAACATTTTCATTTTTGTTTACTCATCATCACAATAATCACGTTGGACTCACAACTATGCACTACCCAAGTGTGTATTCTTATCACCTTCTCAACATCCATTTCTCATCAACACACATCTATCTCAATAATCATTACATTTATTTTTCTAAAGACATATACATGTTTATATTCAAAAACATCTTAATTAGGCATTTTCATTTCAAGTCACAATAGCTTTATGCACATTCAATTTTTTATATACTCATTGAAACTAGAACATGCTTTTTACATTAAAAATCAACCCATACATACCACACTCACAATAGAAATTAATTTACAATCAATTAATATATAGCTACTCAAAGTAGAGTTTTCCCCCAATTACCTCAAACTGTTGAGAGGTTAAAAGTTTACCTCTCAATATACTAGCTTTCAAGCTTGAATTTTCAATCCAATAGGTGACCAAGAGCCAAAATTACAATCAACTAAGTTGAATTTCATTAACATTACCATTTCAAGCACTTATACCATCAATCCTCTACTTCTAAATTGCCCAACATTCACTCCATAAGAATTTGAGCCTATCCCTTGGGTTTAATAATTACCTTTAGTCCCCAATAACATTAATAAGCCATTAAATTTCCATTAATGGTATCACAGTCTTTTAACCACCTATAATAAATGAGATTTTTTTATATTAATGGTGCCCAACAACCTAAGACACTAAAAATTTATTATACTAGGTTTTAGATATTTTAATCTACTCACATTAACTCCATTTGAATCAATAAATTTAGACTTATAACTCATATGGACTGAAAATCCA